CAGAGCCTCGGTCTGACGCCATTAAAAGGTCATTTACCACCTTCACAAGTGCAGTCTCAGTGCTATGATGGGGTCTAAAACCAGACTGAAGCATTTCGTATACATTGTTTGTCTTCAGAAAGGCAGTGAGTTGCTGCGCAACAGCTTTTTCTAAAATTTTTGAGAGGAATGGAAGATTCGATATAGGCCGATAGTTTTTTATATTTTCCGGGTCAAGGTTTGGCTTTTTCAAGAGAGGCTTTATCACTGCCACTTTTAGTGAGTTTGGTACACATCCGGTGGATAGAGAGCTGTTTATTATGTTCAACATAGGAGGGCCAAGCACAGGAAGCAGCTCCTTCAGCAGTTTAGTAGGAATAGGATCCAGTATGCAGCTTGAAGGTTTAGAGGCCATGATTATTTTCATCATTGTGTCAAGAGATATAGTACTAAAACACTTAAGTGTCTCTCCCGATCCCAGGCCCTCGCAGAGCTGTGCAGATCCAGGACAGCTAAGCCCTGGAGGAATACGCAGATTCAAAGAGGAGTCCGTAATTTGCTTTCTAATGGTCATGATCTTTTCCTCAAAGAAGTTCATGAATTTATTACTGCTGAAGTGAAAGCCATCCTCTCTTGGGGAATGCTGCTTTTTAGTTAGCTTTGCAACAGTATCAAAAAGAAATTTTGGATTATTCTTATTTTCCTCGATTAAGTTGGAAAAGTAGGATGATCGAGCAGCAGTGAGGGCTCTTCGGTACTGCACGGTACTGTCTTTCCAAGCTAGTCGGAAGACTTCCAGTTTGGTGTGGCGCCATTTCCGTTCCAATTTCCTGGAAGCTTGCTTCAAAGCTCGGGTATTTTCTGTATACCAGGGAGCTAGTTTCTTATGACAAATGTTTTTCGTTTTTAGGGGTGCAACTGCATCTAGGGTATTGCGCAAGGTTAAATTGAGTTCCTCAGTTAAGTGGTTAACTGATTTTTGTCCTCTGACGTCCTTGGGTAGGCAGAAGGAGTCTGGAAGGGCATCAAGGAATTTTTGTGTTGTCTGAGAATTTATAGCACGACTTTTGATGCTCCTTGGTTGGGGTCTGAGCAGATTATTTGTTGCGATTGCAAACGTAATAAAATGGTGGTCCGATAGTCCAGGATTTTGTGGAAAAACATTAAGATCTACAACATTTATTCCATGGGACAAAACTAGGTCCAGAGTATGACTGTGGCAGTGAGTAGGTCCAGAGACATGTTGGACAAAACCCACTGAGTCGATGATGGCTCCGAAAGACTTTTGGAGTGGGTCTGTGGACTTCTCCATGTGAATATTAAAATCACCAAAAATTAGAATATGATCTGCTATGACTACAAGGTCTGATAGGAATTCAGGAAACTCAGAGAGGAACGCTGTATATGGCCCAGGAGGCCTGTAAACAGTAGCTATAAAAAGTGATTGAGTAGGCTGCATAGATTTCATGACTAGAAGCTCAAAAGATGAAAACGCCATTTTTTTTTTTGTAAATTGAAATTTGCTATCGTAAATGTTAGCAACACCTCCGCCTTTGCGGGATGCACGGGGAATATGGTCACTAGTGTAACCAGGAGGTGAGGCCTCATTTAACACAGCAAATTCATCAGGCTTAAGCCATGTTTCAGTCAGGCCAATCACATCAAGATTATGATCAGTGATTAGTTCATTGACTATGACTGCCTTTGAAGTGAGGGATCTAACATTAAGTAACCCTATTTTGAGATGTGAGGTATCACGATCTCTTTCAATAATGGCAGGATACACACTACTGTCTCTGTATATACTTTACATTCAATAGATACAGTGAGTGATTGTGTGAAGGACAGATAGAAAGACATGAGAAAAATTATCACATGTGCTCATGTTGGAGAGGTGGGGAGTGAGGGGTTGGATTGGGGAACTGTCTGTGCACCCAAAGGATGTGTCTCACACTCCCCTCACACGCTCCCCCCCAAACCCCCTCACCTCCCCCTGGGTCCCTGCCTGTCCTACTCCACACCTGCAGCCCAGAATGGGAATAATTTAGCCAGGCCTTGCTCTTCCCCAGAGTGGGAATAACCTGGGAATATCCTATCTGAGGCCTCACGCTTCCAAATAGCCTAACTTTGGCAGACACCTGAGCAAACTATGGGTGACACAAATTAAGAGAAAATGAAGACATCATTTATCTGGAGCAAAATAAAGCTGGAGCAAAATAAAGCGGGATAAATATCCCTATGTCACAAGTGGTAAAGAGGTAGCTATGATTGCTGTCATGTCCCCTGGTCCCCTTAGTGTTGGTCATGCACTATGAACTTCTCTGACAGATGGCTCATACTTCCTTCCTCTCCCCCCTTTTCTCTCATTAAGTAAGTATCTGATAGTGGCTCAGCACTTCTCACCTGAACTAACACTGACCCCTGAGGACCCTCCCTACTCACCTTATGTAGGTATGTTTGCTTGAGAGGGCAGCGGCTTCAGCTGCAGAAAGCAGAACACAATCCCCACTCTCTGACACACACACACACACACACACACACACACACACACACACACACACACACACACACACACACACACACATACACATACACACACCCAGGCACACGACCTCTTCCTGAATCCCCAGCAGTCCTATTTAGAATTACAGTGGGGAGAGGGGGCTGTGTCCATCTGTCAGACTGGGAGTCCTATGGGAGATCCCAATACCCCAGTGAGGCAAGAGCACGTTTGTGTGTGTGTGTGTGTGTGTGTGTGTGCATGCGCATGTGTGTGTGTTGGTGGGGGGTTGGGGATTGGGGATTGGGGTCGTGATTGTTCTGGAAAGACTGCATTTGTAATTATAATTAGGCCTAAGTTGTAAATGCTTTTATTCACAATATCACATATCAGAAATTATGCTATTACAGTTATGCTATGTGTAAAATTGTTTTTTAAAAACATTTTATTTGACAATAACATATCACAATCCCCACTTCACCTAATACTTGTGGCCCCAACCGTCCCATCACCTAAATTCTCTTCAAACACTTTTGATGTTCTGAATAGGGACGACAATAGGCTCATCATATTGTTTATTATAGAGCGTTCAGAAAGACAAACAGACCTCCAGAGAATGAAAGTTACTCTGAGTTTCATGGTCCCTGATCAGCTTGGAGGTTACACTAAGCAACACTTGAACCTCTCTCCAACACAAGCCCTAAACGTTCTGGTGATCTGGACCATGTGTTCTTATACCAACCATCCCATTGAGGAGGCCGCTACGGGACCTCAAAAATAGATACCCCCCAGCTACACCCCAAACCCCCTTAACCCTTCCCTTAACCCTCCCTTGGCCCCCTGCAGTGCGTGCTCATTGGCCGACCGCCTTCAGGCGTCCCTTTTCCACGGGCCCATTGTCTGGCCCCATAAGCTGCTTTGTTTCTGCGTGTGCAGCTGGACCATCCCGCTCAGCCATTAGCCACGACACGCTAAAGAGAGCGGGATAATATAATTACTGAACAAAAGTCAGGTGGCTAGTAGTTCTGCCAGGGGGAGCCCATTTGGGGGGCTATGTGTGGAGGGGTTGGCGGGTGGCCAGCTATAATTCGATTATGAAGTTTTGAGAGCGACAAAAGGAACAATTGAATATTTTTCTATGTCTCGCCCGACTGTTGTTTAATTTGATTCCATCTTGAGTTCAAAAAGTGAGGAGTGTGAAAAGAGAGAAAATGTACTCTTCTAATTTTCAGAGTTACCGGCCCAGAAAATGTTATATGGTCTGACAAAACTGAACTGGAGAAATTCCTCACAGAGCGTATCTTTATTGTCAGATTGATGTGAGACTGAGCCTGTTTGTGGAGGCCCAAATCAGATGAATTCCTGAAAGGCTGGGTTTTTATTTTGAAGTCACTGGCCTTGCGTTCTCTCTTGGCACGGATGCAAACATACCGGGGGACAATGGGATCTAAAGCAGATCCATCTCCTCTAATACTTTCTTTAAACAGGGGTGCAAGTGTGTGTCCCTGTCCCGTCGGCAGACCCAGAGTTTATCCCGTTAGTCACCCTGGATGAGTGAAAGGGTAAACTCGATCTCCCCATCCCAGCTGGAAGCAGCCTCACACACATGCAGATCCACACCCCCAGCTGGGGTGGGACACCCAGGGCTTTATGGACAGCTGATAGGAACAGGTTTAGCTAGTGGGTACTGTTTGGAGTAGGTCAAGCAGAATAGGTTCTGCTAAACCTGTTTTTGTTTCTATTCGTTTACATTTGTTTGTTGGTGAGGGGTGCAGGAGACCGCATTTGGTTTTTGTTTGGGTAAGACAGTAAGCGATTGTGTCATATACACACATGCTTTAGTGGTGGGGTGTCACCATTGTGCCCGCTCTAGGGGTGTGTAAATGCCAATTTTCAGCCCCGTTGGACATAGTTTGAGCATGCCCTCAGGAGTGCATAGGATTCTCATACCCTACAGATTTTTTCATTGCTTGACTAACTGCTTGGTGTTGGACTATTCTTGATCATCATGGACAAGTTCTGACAAATGTGATTGTAAAACATTCCAACCTGAACCTCTTTTTGGGCACACCTGATTTATTAGAATCTTCATTCTTTGAGAAATCACTACATTGTTACCTAAAATAATCACAATTTTACAAATAATCATGAGCAGAAATGTTTTGAGCCCCAATATTGAATGGTATGTCACCTTCGCTTTATTACTACAATATGTATGCACTCAGTACTGTACGTCGCTCTGGATAAGAGTGTCTGCTAAATGACTAAATTGTAAATTGTAAATATTACAACATCTGTGTTTTGCACCTACATTTATAGTGAGACAATACATTCATACTATATTAACTTAAGTTAGGATTAATTGTCCCATTTACAAAAATGTGACCCAATTACAAATACAAGTTCTGATTGAAATGCTCCTGCATATCAGGACTAAGATTGGACATTGTTTAGTTTGATGTGGAATGTGATTGTTGGTAGCTTGTTGAATGCTGAGTGGCCGCTGTGCGCTTCAGTTCTAGGGCGTGGCAGGGAAGGCGGAGCCGATGTACTTCTTCCCATTCCCATAGGAGGATTTATCCCAGGTGTAGGTCTGGATCACCAGTGGCTTCCCTCCCAGGCTCAGTTTACACCTGCACATAGAAAACCAGATGAAAACATAACACACAATGGCACAAGCACACACTCACATAATGAGACATAACGTGACACACGTTCCAAAATGGATAGAAGTGCAGAACAGCAATGGCTATGTATTGTGTGTACATCATCTTTGGTAGATCATGAAAAATAAATGACACACACACACACACGAACGGAGTACTCACTGTTTCCCTGGACGGGTGATGTAACAGAGACTGTACACGGCCAAGTCGAACTCAGGACTGCAGCCAATGATGGAAGAACCAACCTGCTTGAAGTAGCCACCCCACATGAACTGCATCCCCAGAACATCAGGGTAGGAAGTCCACTGAGAGAGAGAGAGAGAGAGAGAGAGAGAGAGAGAGAGAGAGAGAGAGAGAGAGAGAGAGAGAGAGAGAGAGAGAGAGAGAGAGAGAGAGAGAGAGAGAGAGAGAGAGAGAGAGAGAGAGAGAGAGAGAGAGAGAGAGAGAGAGAGAGAGAGAGAGAGATCTCAGTCTTTGGAGACTTTGTGTTATGATTATGTTATGATTACATGGTTGTGTTGTGAATGTGATGGTTTGTTTGGTGCTTACAGGTCCATCGAAGCTGTGGCTGTAGTAGTCAATCAGACCCTGTTTCTCCAGCCGGTAGAACTGGAGCCAGTTGTGGAAGCCAGATATCTTCCCACCCTTAATCTCCCCTAAAATAAAAAAAGATACACTTTATAAACACACACACCCGCTTGCACACTAACAAAATTAGACACACACCACATTTTTACACACACACACAAACATATGCACACACACACATATCACACCTGCAAAAATGTGCTCAAAGCCGCTGGAGTCCATCTTGCCAGCGTAGCGGGAATAGAGGCCGAACCACATCATCTTCAGGTCATGGAGGAACTCCTCCTCTGAGCTGTAGCGTCCTGGGGAGGAGAGAATAGCAAACTGACACATTACAAATGGAGATAGGTCCAAACAACATTCCATACCACATTCAAGTCCCTCAGTCGAACACCTGATTCCCTTTTTTGTTCAAGCTGGGCTGAAGCGCATTTGGGTACACCTTCTTTACATGGAGATAGATGTTTGGACATATACAGTACCAGTCAAAAGTTTGGACACACCTACTCATTCAAGGGTTTTTCTTTCTTTTTACTATTTTCTACATTGTAGAATAATAGTGAAGACATCAAAACTATGAAATAACACATATGGAATCATGTAGTAACCAAAAAAGTGTTAAACAAATCAAAATATATTTTATATTCATCCCTCTTTCCCTGTCACTGTCCAACTTCCCCCTTTTCTCTGCCCCTTGCTCTATCCCTTTCTCTCTCTCTGACCTACAGTATATCCTGACTGTGTTGTCTTCCATCCAGGTTTGTCCTTTGGTCTGGAGTCCAAATTGGAGATGTTTGGTTCCAACTGCCGGGTCTTTGTGAGACGCGGTGTGGGTGAACGGATGATATCCACATGTGTAGTTCCCACCGTAAAGCGTGGAGGAGCAGATGTTATGGTGTGGGAGTGCTTTGCTGGTGATACTGTCTGTGATTTATTTAGAATTCAAGGCACACTTAACCAGCATAGCTACCACAGCATTCTGCAGCGATACGCCATCCAATCTGGTTTGGGCTTAGTGGGACTATCATTTGTTTTCAACAGGACAATGACCCAACACACCTCCAGGCTGTGTAAGGGCTATTTTACCAAGAAGGAGAGTGATGGAGTGCTGCATCAGATGATATTAACCCAATTGAGATGGTTTGGGATGAGTCGGAAGGCAGAGTGAAGGAAAAGCAGTGCTCAGCATATGTGGGAACTCCTTCAAGACTGTTGGAAAAGCATTCCAGGTGAAGATGGTTGAGAGAATGCCAAGAGTGTACAAAGCTGTCATAAAGGCAAAGGGTGGCTATTTGAAGAATCTCAAAAATAAAGAAAAACCCTTGAATGAGTAGGTGTGTCCAAACTTTTGACTGGTACTGTAGGTACATCAGAGATAATGAGCAATAGTGAGATAGAAATGTGAAGGGGTGGTATCATAGAAATACTGTAACATGAACTGTAGGTGCAAGCTAGGAAGATACTGTATGTGATAAGTATGGCATATTAATGATAGAAGGGCTCTTAGCGACATGACGATGATATGAAGACTGGCTAGTGTTATCTCAGTAGGACACAGAGTGGATGTCTATACTACTATACCCTTGGTGAAGAGGAAGGCATAGAGCTCTCTGCCCAGCTCCGTGTTGGACATGGCCTCCCTGAGGAAGGTATCCTGCTCAGCCAGCTGCTGGGGGGTGAAGTCCTCTGTGATGCCTGTGTTTCTCTCGTAGTTGTCCAGCAGGGCCATGAAGGCAGCATATGACGGCTTGGAGAACAGAGACGCCTCGTCCAGGAACTGGAACAACCTGGATGGAAGACAACACAGTCAGGATATACTGTAGGTCAGAGAGAGAGAAAGGGATAGAGCAAGGGGCAGAGAAAAGGGGGAAGTTGGACAGTGACAGGGAAAGAGGGATGAAGATATAAGGAGGGAGAAAGAAAGAGAGAAAAATAACATAAGACAGAGACAGAGGAAGAGAGGAATAATACAACAAAGAGATGGTTGGAAATGGAGAAGTAGAGAATGAAAGAGAAAAGAGAAACAAAATAGAAAGTATTTTTTTCAGGCAGGGTGTCTCACGGGCGTGGGGACAGGTCGTTCTGGGAGCTGGTCTGGGAGTCGGGCACTCTGGCCTGGGAGTCAATGATCAGCTCTGACGCAGAGGGCTTGTTGGAGTCCAGAGCATACAGAGCCTCAGACATAGACTTGATCTCAGCATCAGTGATGTCACTGCCTCCATCTCCACCACCAGAGCCTAACAGACACGGGAAAATAACACTTTATTTTAGGGACTGCCACCATAGAACCCATAGAATCTATAATTGCCTACCACCCATAGAACATACAGTATCAGAGACATGGGGAACAGTTTACATTAACAAATATTATACTGTTGTAACATAGAGAAGTAATTACATTGTTTTAATATTATATCGGTCATTTCAGTGCTGTTGTGGGTCATTAACTCATTATATTGTACGACAGGACAAATACCAGGGTTATAATACTTTTTGTGTAACAGTTTGAGTAACAGTTAACTCACTTCCACAGAGGGAGGTGTAGTCGCTGCAGCAGTTGTTGTAGTCTCCACACTTGATGTTGCAGTGGCACTTGTTCTGAGAGTTGTATGTCTCCCCACAGCGGCCCTGGCAGGACAATCCTGGAGTGGTGCGAAGTGGAGAAGTCATTATTATTATGTTTTAGCTTAAATTGACATTTTAACATGAATGTCTAAGCTAGGACTATGAACTGCAGAGTCCTGTGTTTCACATAAGGAGCCTATTGAAGATTGTTGCGCTGTGCATGATGTGCGGCACTTTACACTGCACACCAATGACCTCTACTGGCCAAGCACACACATGCATTCTCATGCTGTAAAAAGACTGAGGGCACCCTGATTCAAACACTGGTGGTGAGCCATCCTGCCACTGTGGCCATCAGAAAGGCCAATGACTGACTATTGTCTAACATTGAGCTACATGTAGTATGTTGATTTTGTTCACAAAGGTTGTGTAGTAAAGACTCTTTCACGTATGATGCAGTAGTATCTGTATGGTGCACTGTGATTGACCTCGACCACTATGTGAATTTCACCAGGTGTTGTGGTTAATTTTCCAGGATGGAAAAAATGGCAGCTCAAACAGATAACAGATGAATAATTAACTGTGCCTAGGTGTAGTAGACCGTGTGATATGTTTCAGGGACATGGTTTTGTTTGCATGCCTCCAGATCAGAATGGCACAGGCCCCTCTCACCATTACAGAGGGCTTCGTAGTCACTGCAGCAGTTGTCATACTGGGAGCACTTAGAGTTGCAGTGACACATGTTCTGAGAGTTGTACTTCTCGTCACAGCGGCCCTTGCAGGATGTGGATCCAGCTGGAGAAAAGGAACAAAAGTGAAAAGTTCACACCCTGCTTCTGTTGACATGTAAATACTAAGCTGTGCTTCGTTTTGGCTATTTTGGTAAAGTTCATATACAATTTAACTAGGTTTTGAGCCAATAATAATAATAAAAAAATCCTAATGGATGATAAACTATTCTAACTATCTGACTAACAAGGTGGAGCGCTTAGAATGTGGTTGGACACTAATTATTGATAATTCTGACACATTTCTTTCAGGACAGCTTTATAGGAGTTAACTCATATATTTATTTATTTTTACTGACAGAGAGGGTTGCTACTGTAACTGACATTTGCAGAGGCTTTCATAGTCAGACCAACAGTCTCCATAGCACTCACAGGCTGTGTTACACTACATTTACATTTACATTTTAGTCATTTAGCAGACGCTCTTATCCAGAGCGACTTACAGGAGCAATTAGGGTTAAGTGCCTTGCTCAAGGGCACATTTACGTCATTTAGCAGACGCTCTTATCCAGAGCGACTCACCAATTGGTGCGTTCACCCTATAGCCAGTGGGATAACCACTTTACACTGACAGGTTTTGTTAGAGTCTGCCCTACTCACAATAATAAATAGGTCATTTAGCAGACGCTCTTATCCAGAGCGACTTACAGGAGCAATTAGGGTTAAGTGCCTTGCTCAAGGGCACATCGACAGATTTTTCACCTAGTCGGCTCAGGGATTAGAACCAGCGACCTTTCGGTTACTGGCACAACGCTCTTAACCGCTAAGCTACCTGCCGCCCTATCATATTTTAACAGGTATATTACATTTAATTTCATGTGATACTAATGAAATGAACAAATAATAATTATCTAGTAGATTATCCTTTGCCCCATAACACCCTGAAGAGGGCTCATACTTACTGCTGTAACCCTGAGAGAACAAGGTCACAAACAGAATGACAAGCAGAATGATCTTCATCATGGCCCAGCAAAGATCCAATAACTAGGTGCACTGTCCCAAAGATGGATTTCCTTATATAGCAAGCTAGCCAAGCCAAAACAGTAGTTACAGCATCCATGAAAGCTCCTCCCTGTAGTCAGTCTTCCAATCATGTTAGGTACAGTACTCTGGGGATAGCATTGGCAGCTACTACATATTGACAGGGTTGGGTAGGTTACTTTTTAAATGTAATCCGTTACAGTTACTAGTTACCTGTCTAAAATTGTAATCAGTAACGTAACTTTTGGATTACCTAAATTTAGTAACGTAATTTGATTACTTTCAGTTACTTTTGGATTACTTCACCGTAAAACACATTAGAAGAAAAAAAAAAAGATTATTACCAATTTAACAACATTTATTGCAGGATGTTTGAGCCACTAAGCAGAGCCACATTAGAACACATCACTGTGACAAAAATGTATTTAAGCCCTGTATACCTGCCTCTAACATGCGTCCTTCATCCTGATCTTACATTTACATTATTTAGCAGACGCTCTTATCCAGAGCGACTTACAGGAGCAATTAGGGTTAAGTGCCTTGCTCAAGGGCACATCGACAGATTTTTCACCTAGTTGGCTCGGGGATTAGAACCAGCGACCTTTCGGTTACTGGCACAACGCTCTTAACCACTAAGCTACCTGCCGCCCCATCTTGTCCATTTACACCTATAAGATCTGATCACAGTCAGACCACAATGCGTCTTTTAATCATGTACACCTGTCTAAAAATGTGGGCACAAACCCAATGTGCAGGACAAAGGATACATGTTAAAAAAAATTTTTTTACAACATGCACAGTGTAATCACACATTTAGTCCACCAAGTCGTTTTTTAAATTTAAGCAAAAAAGAAGTGCAGCTAGGTGCAATAAACCCACATATCAGACATGGCATTGCAGTAGGTCTATTCTGAAGCTAGCCTACTCAGATGATTGAAGGCAGAAATTCCTTTTGTATCGCAGCAAGAGGACATGCTCTAGATGAGCATCAGACATCCTGTTTCGCTGAGGGGTAAACAGGTTTCCACCATAGCTGAAAAGGCACTCAACTGGGGCACTGGAGGGAAGTGTAGTGTTGTACTTCAGGAACAAGTTCCGGACTATGGGGAACGATTTCAAGGAGTCCAAAGAGTGGTCTTTGTCTTCGAGTTACTTCCTCGCCTCATCCTCTGCTGTGCCACTGGCCCTTGTTGTTGCACCTCCGAACACAAAAACATTGTCTTCTGACTCATTAGACACGTTCTGTGCTCCCTCATCAACCTCTTCGGAGTGTGTGTTCTCCATAGATGCTGCTTCTTGAACTAATGTGCTCCGCATATCATCTCTCTTCGCAGGGTTGAGCTAAGACAGTCGAAACTTTGGCACGGTTGCCATTTTTGCTTCATGGGTGCTTAGCATAGGTCCAAACCGGCGGTCTATAGCCTCAATGACCGCAGTGATGATGTGTGCAGAGAATCTCGCAAGAGGTATTTTCTCTGAGAGCTTAGACTTCAAATTTAGGATTGTTGGGATAAGAAAGCCAACAAAACACTTCTCGCCCTGAAGAAGATCAATGGAGAATGCGAGTAACACTTTTTTGGTTAATGACTGACGTTAATATGAAAGGTAATTAAGAAAACAGGCAATTGTTTCATGGACATTTTTTTCCCTGCAAACATAACCTTCTAAATTTGAAAGTCATCCTAGAAGTAATGATCTACATTTTCAAAAGTATTGGTAATTTGATTACAATATTTTTGCTGGTAACGTAACGGATTTTTTGTAATCCATTACATGTAGCCTACTGTGCCTACATATTGATGTACTAGCATTTGTACTAGTTAGACCCAGTTTGAACATACTGTTCACAAATGTGTTTCCAATGTGTCTTCTTTTGTAACCCATTTGTTACAAAAGCTTTTTTGTAAAACATATGACTCTGACGTATTCGGTGGTTGATGTGGAAGGACGCTAGTGATGCATCCATACACAAAGGTTTGACATTGTGCAAATGTGCTCATTTGAGGTGACATGGGAATGGGAGAACGGAGTTGTTTATAACATTCCTAAACAAATATAGAGTGGACTTGTATTAACTTGTAGGAGAGATTAAGTTAATGAATACAGGCACAGAGAAATTTCACACACTCACACCTGTTGAACACGTCTAGTTTTTAAAATAGCATTTTATCAGATTATGTTGTGTAATAGAAACACCTGCCATATTTTTCGTCTGCGTTCATGCATATTAATAAACTGCATAAATTGATTACTGTATCATGATATAAAAGTCTAAACCATTTCAAAGGTGGTACGTGTATCATTCAATGCATTATCATTCAAGAAACTGACATATTGTGGAGATGCACTGTCTCTCACTTTCTACATATTTCTGCAAACAATGCGCTACTCCCTTTCCTGGACCTTTCCACTCAAAGTCTAAAATGGGCCAGTTATATGCAGTCCTCAGCCATCTGGTGTAGTTCACTTCACATGGTTTCTGCAGTAAACCCCGTAGCACATCCAGAACACCTGCTGCCATTGCGCCATGTCATAGTGGAAAAGTGTTGCAGCATTCAGCTCCATAGGCACGTGCCTTACAACAGGGGTGAATGTAAGTGAGACACAGCCATATATTGCTCTTGGAAATAATATGCAATGTAATGGTTGATGTTGTGATGTTGGGGCCTGTCACTGTGCAGAAGGGGCCCCACTGTATGTAAACAACATGCACCTCATAGCAGTATAGGCCAATGTGTTTATACAGTGTCTCTCAAAATAAAATAAACCTACAAGTAAGCAAATATGTAATAAAGAAAATAATGGACCAGATTCGTACCATCAAACTATCCCAAAGAAGTGCTGCCCTGTGTGCGCGATGTGATATGCATTCCAGTACATCAGATGGCGCTAAACAAACGTTAAAGCAACATTTCCCGGCTCAACGAAAGATGCGTTTTGTAACAGTAAGTTTGGCCATGCTCGTTTGCCGTACCCAGCGTGTTCAATAACATTCTGGAGTTCATAAGGAGAAATGTCGAGCTTTGATTTGTAAAAATTTTCAAGAATGGCATTAACTTATGTTTTAATATCAATCAGAACAGAGTTCTCAAAGGTAGGCGAGAATAGCGTGCGCCGGCATCCCGACCCCAGCATCCTATTGATGGTTGTGCTTTCTGAAGCTGCTGTCAGCTGTTGATTTGAGTAACGTTAATGTTAACGGTAACAGTTAGCTAGCAGAGAGGCATTCAAAAGTGGCACGCGAATTAACAACGTAAGGGACAAGAAAGTATTCAAAATTCAGAAACTAGCCTTTGAGCATCGTTGGCAATATCACATGCAGTGAATTGAAACATCTTCCTAGAGCCAGATGTCATCATGGACATGGTTTGAATGATGCTGGCTTCACTGAAATGTAATCTATTTTCTTGTCTCCCCCCCCCCCCCCCCCCCCCCAGCATGTACGGTCTTCTGTCTGCACAGTCTTCCTGGCTAAGCATGGCAGGGATGGATGTCCAAACTTTGTCCTGGAGAGGTGGTGAATGTGCAAGATTTTGTTCCAGTCCAACAGTAAGGAAATATGTTGTTAGTAGTATTTTATCTGATGAGTTAGTGCTAGGCTGGAACAAAAGCCTGCCCTGCAGTGCCTGCACACTGCATGCCTCCTGGACCAGGATTGGGCAACCCCTGACTTAAATGTAATGTATATTTAGGATAGTGTGTATATGTGTGTGTAATGACTCCTTTTTCTCCAACCCAGGCAGAGAGATGGTTACATGAGCAGACCCAAAAGGAAGGCTGGAGCAAAGCCAGCAAGCTGGAGGGGAGGAGGGCCAAGGAGGGGCTGATCAGTCTGTTTGTAGGAGACAAAGCTGCTGTCATGGAGGTAAGCAGATCTCATTCACTCAATGAGATCATATCACTAATCCTCCTCAATGCTGTCTGCATGCAATATTTAAGTTGAATGTTACGTAGTTTGACAGTCATCTTACTTTGTTTAGTTTGATAAAGGCTTTTGTGTCAAACTTAAATATAGTAGTAGTTCCACTGTGACGATCAGAAGTATCTGTATCTCAATGTCCTCCATGTCTGTGTGTGCTGCAGGTGAACTGTGAAACAGACTGTTGCCCGTAATGAGAAGTTCCAGCAGCTGGTGAAGGATGTGGCTTTTGCCACCATGGCTCACCACCACAGTAAAAACCAGAGTCAGACTGGATACGTGAAGGTATGACACATCACTACATCACCCCCACTCAGTAGCCACATCACCCTAGTATACCTGTTCGAATGCGTAAAATTGCATTTATCTTTGTTTGTTTCAGTCTCCTGGCAGCAGAGGACCTCTCTAAACTGAACTTGGGTGAAGGTGCTTCTCTGGCTGATCGGCTGGCCCTTACCATAGGTGAGTGAGTAATAAAAGTAGCCCAAACATTTACAAATATGACTTTAAATGTATCAAAGAGAGTTTACTTGATTTGAACTTCGAGAGGCTCTATCTGCAGCATTATTTCTTGGTTGAAAGTGTTTGGAAATGGAAGACTGCTCTGTTAGTGAAGTTGTGGTTTCCTGTCATTTCCTGTCCCGTCCTCTTTCAGGTCCGTTGGGTGAGAACATGTCAGTGAGGGTGGCGGTGGGCGTCCCTGCAGGCTGGCACATCGGCTCCTACATCCACAGTGGCGTGGCAGGCCAGTCTGACATGGCCATGGGGCGATACGGCGCCCTCATGGTGTTCCAGGGGGGGCAAGGACAGGGCGCAGGACACCCTGGGGAGGAAGCTAGGGTAGTATGTAGTGGGAGAGGTCCCCATATCCCTGGGCAGCATGGATTACCTGCCCTGTGGGGACACGCCTGCTGCCCCAATCCTTCCTCCCTGACCCCAGTAGGACAATGGCCCAGTACCTGACGGAGCAGGGGGCTTGAGTTCTGGACTTTGTCCACTTTCAGTGTTGGGATGCGGGCAGTGATGGGGCATAGTGAAGGGGAGAGGAGAGCATCTCGAAGACCTTACATATTTTGTTTTCTGCCGTTTTTTTGTTTCTGAATTAGGTCACAGTGCCGACGCTCAGTTGATGTCATGCAAATGCACTCAACCAATTTCAATGTCTCATGTTTTAATGCTGTATGTGAAGCCTAATATACACTGAGTATACCAAATATTAGGAACACCTGTAGATTACCATGTCTGCTGTACATTTATGATGATCTTATCTCACTAATTTCTCATTCACTCATGCTGCCAAATATGCCCTTGTAAAACTGACTATCCTACCGATCCTTGACTTCGGCGATGTCATTTACAAAATAGCCTCCAACACTCTACTCAGCAAATTGGATGTAGTCTATCACAGTGCCATCCGTTTTGTCTCCAAAGCCCCATACACTACCCACCACTGTGACCTGTACGCTCTTGTTGGCTGGTCCTCACTACATGTTCGTCGTCAAACCCACTGGCTCCAGGCCATCTATAAATCACTGCTAGGCAAATCCTCGCCTTATCTTAGCTCATTGGTCACCATAGCAGCACCCACCCGTAGTCTGCGCTCCAGCAGGTATATCTCACTGGTCATTCCCAAAGCCAACACCTCCTTTGGCCGCCATTCCTTCCAGTTCTCTGCTGCCAATGACTGGAACGAATTTACTTCGGTAAATAGTTCGAAGAGCCAACGCCTGCGAGATGTGATTGGCCTGTGCGATGCAATAATTAAGGAGGATGACGTCATGAGCATAGTTTTTCTTGTCAACGTTCGCCCCTGTCGGTTCACATTCGCCTTACCTCCGACCGCAGACGGGACTCAAACCAAGCCCAGAAATGGTAAATGCCTTTACTCTGTTCTGTTTCAAAGATATTTGTATGCGACGTGAAGTGTAGACTGTTAGCCTAGCAAAATGTCATTTTAAATTCGTGTAGACAAAGCCAGTTAGCTTGCTAGCTGATCCAACGAAGACATTGCGCTGCTGGATTTTCAAAACATGGCTGTGCAATGTTTGCTGGCTAACGTTACTTGTTCTCTTCATCTTCGGTAGTCATATTAATGGATGTGTTTTCTCTATTTTCATCTCTGCCGTACTTCTCAACCAGTCTGACTTCTCAGAAGACCAGATCATTGGTGAGTTTTGTGACAGCTTTGTGACAGTAACGCTATTTGAAGGCTAGCTACCTAGCTAAATTGTTAGCTGCTAGACTATCCCTTACTTCACTGTCGTCATTCATTGAATGTCGAATAGCTGTACTTCTTCTCTCCTGTCCTCCTCATGTTTGTCTTGTGAGAAGCAGTTTCCCTGCTGACAAGTTGATTTAAACTGGAGCCTATGGTGAGTTTGTTGAGATGGACCAGGTTTTGTTTTGGCTAACCATCTTGGGAAACATTTTAACGTTTACATTTGAGTCATTTGGCAGACGCTCTTATGCAGCGCGACTAACAGTAGTGAGTGCGTAAGTTTTCGTACAATGCATGAATAGTGGAATTGTCATCAGACATATTGATATACGTTTACTAAAATATTCACGAGTGTCTATTGGCTCAGTCAATCCCATATAATGTGGTCGATCCCCTTGTTTGATCACCACAGCGGGTTTGATTGAATGGTGTTTCAGCAGATTAATGTTTTGTGTTGAATGGATGACCAACTAATTTTGCTGTTTTTTGAGTTCTGTGCCTGATATTTTTTATGCATGCAGAAATAGAAGGGCCAGATTTCAACATGTCAAGACATGGCTAGTCATTAGTGTTCAGAAGCCTAAATACTTTGAAAGATTGGTCGTTTTAGTTCTTCCATTTTAACGTTTTTTAGGTTTTTTTTGCCAACACCAATTTTGGGATTATTGATCTGTTCCGTTTATTGTTGTGATGTTTAGCTAGCTACGTGGTTAGAGAACAGCGCTAACCGGAAGTTCAAAATTCTGGAATGAGAATTTGTTCCAGGTGCGAGAATTGTATAAAATATGTCTACATATTATTGAGGAAATCAAGCCACTATTGTAAATTGTTCTCAGTCCTACACCGGTGTTGACTCATAGACATTGTATAAGCAAAGGGAAATGACTCAACCACTTATTGAGTTGTACGTATCGAAGGCGTGGCACAACTAAACCTCAGACATACTCTTTGAAATTAAGTTAGCGAAGCATGTATCCATTTAGCAATAACATATCTACCGACATAGCGTTACTGTACACATCGATTGACTGTGTATTTTCCCCTTGCTCAATGGCCTGTTTAGGAGTTTTGTTCCACGGTTGATAGATTTCATTTGCCCTCGTTTGTTTGGTTGAAAGACGGTTGACAGATTACTCGGCCAGCGCTTGCTGTCGATGCCATATATGGGTAAATGAGTAGCTGCTGTGTAGTTTTAGACGGACCGTCTCGGGATGCGCCGCATACCAGCGGTGGGAGGCAGGCACCATAACAATGGCCCGGGGAAATTACCCTGATGTCAGAAAGCGTTCCATTAGAGGCCACCGCATTTAATGTAGATAACAAATACTCAATCAAACAACAAAACCAAAAAAACGGAATTGTTTGTGTAATAACGCTTTATTTGATAAATTTTTCACTGCCAATGTATTATTCACTTTCTTACTAACTTTGTCTTTGGATTCTCGTTTTTGCCCAGTCTTTTCAACCTGTTTCTACATTTACAGCTTATATATATCAATCAGCTCTGTGCTTTTTTTAAATGCCCTTCTTCTCCCAGCTTATATTTATCAATCACACACACACAATACAGCTCTGCTTTTTAAAAATGCCCTTCTTCTCTGTCTGTCAGAGTTCAAGGAGGCCTTCCTGCTGTTTGACAGGACAGGTGATGGGAAGATCAGCTACAGCCAGTGTGGTGATGTCATGCGGGCTCTCGGCCAGAACCCTGTCAACGCTGAGGTCCTCAAGGTCCTGGGCAACCCCAAGTCAGAAGGTCAGCCATTCTTCTAGATGCTTACTGAACATTGACCATTAGTATCCATTGGCTGGATAAAACATAGAAGTATTACACATTTCAGTTAACATTTGTCAGATTTTATTCGGGCATAGTGTCGTCTTATTGTGTTCCGTTTGATTTAGACCTATTTTTCAACGCTTAGGGCTGATGTGTTTTTGGGACTGTTACTGTTTGCAGTGAACAACTTCACCAAACCAGTTTGAATAATTTGTATTCTGTAAGGTATCAACTAATGTGCTTTAGCATCCAACGAAGGATACAACTGATGAAACAAAATGTTATTCTGGGTATGACATAACTATTCTATGGAGTGTGAACTTTGTGTGTAATCTGCAGTTGTCAAGTACCACAGGCACACAGGCTTTGTCCTATCCTATCAAGTGGGTGGTACTATTGAAACTCAGTTTCTGTTGTGGTTGTGCATCCTGTCCCTTATCAGTCAAGGAACCGAGACATTGAGTACGTTGACATGCACACTAATATTTCAATATTAAACTGATTATGGCAGTAGGCAGATTATGGCATTAGTCACGTAAACACCTTACTCTGCTTATCTTAAACGGCATAAGGTCAAAATCGAAGTAAGCATACACCGATTGAAACACCTGGTTTTCTGAGCGATCTTTTGAATCATTAGGACATGTAAACATCGGCGTTCCAGCAGTGCATTTCATCTGCGCATGTGCTAGCACCAGCCGAGCGAGCCTCCCTCTTTAGCGTGAGTGAAATGTGTTTGTAAACAACTGAATTTGTGTCTTACAAACTTTATATCTCCGTCTCCGAACACAGAATCAAATATGCTTCCCAAAAATAATGTTTGCTGAGGTAGAATGTTTATTTTGATTGCGGAGTTTCTGCATTTTCAGAGTGCCATCAGGTGTGTCCATGTAAACAGGATTATTAAGGAAATCGTTCTTCTTGCAAAGCATGTAAAAGTTTTAATCGAACTATTATATTAATCTGACTATCCACAATAATCACATTATTGTGTACATGTAACAGAACTCATTGTGTAGGTTCACTCTCCAAACGATCCCTGTTCTGTTCTTACATGTGTTAAACACAGAACAGGTGCATCTCAGATATGCAGATCATGTCAACAAGGTCTGATAACATAAAGCTGACTATCAATTTATAGAGAAACACAAGCATTCCTCTATTTGGAATTTATAAGATTTGTTCAGATGTTTATTAAGCTGACATATGGAATTGTGTTAAGATGGTCATACTATGGATCATTTTGCTATTTAATTTTGAGTTTCAGGACCCCTTTAGGTATCCCCAAACAACATAAGAATAATACTAATAATAGTTTTGGGTCTTTAGTAGCCCATAGTAACACATTAATAAATGGCAAAAAGGACAGTAAAACAATAAATCATTAAAACAACAAGGTTTTGAAGTGTCTGTCCTAAATCTAGGAGATATAAGGTGTGTGTATAATTTTTTTGACCTTATTATTTTTTTTTGGGTAGGCACATAAATACCTTCAAACTACCATTTGTTTTTCTAAACCGAAACCGGTACCGGTGACCTTCAGAGGAGTCCTGTGACACTTGTGGGGGCCGTAGAGGAAAACGGAGACCATCATCGTGTTCGTGAGAGTCTCCCATTTCCATAGTTTGTAGGCCAAACCGTTCGGACGCTACAGACGTTTTCGTGAGAAGACCGATTTTCGTGATGTCTCGTAGTCCGGCTAACACTGCTCTAGCTCTGCCACCTTTCATCACAGATGCAGAAGTGTGACATTAATTGACTCATCCGATACAAAAAAACAACCTGGATATCTCTAGCTTAAACTGACACACATTTTTATGATTTTTTAAAATGTTAATTAGGGTGATGGACCGGTACGTCAATCGACTCTAGGGGGTTAAATACATTTCATGCCATGTTGAGTTATTTTACTCTCAGTATGTGGGCCTAGTCTTAAATGGAGCAGATGCAGATATTTTATATACACTGAACAAAAATACAAACGCAACATGTTGGTCCCATGTTTCATGTGCTGAAGTAAAAGATCCAAGAAATGTTCCATATGCACAAGAAGCTTATTTCTCTCAAATTATCTGCAATTTTTTTTTTACATCCCTGTTAGTGAGCATTTCTCCTTGGCCATGTTAATCCATCCACCTGATAGGTGTGTCATATAAAGAAGCTGATTAAACGGCATGATCATTACACAGGTTCACCTTGTGCTGGGGACAATAAAAGGCCACTCTAAAATGTGCAGTTTTATCACACAACACAATGCCACATGTCTCTACTCTTGAGGGAGCTTGCAATCGGCGTTCTGACTGCAGGATTGTCCACCAGAGAATTCAATGTTAATTACTCTACCATAAGCCGCCTCCAACGTCATTGCCAGAGAACTTGGCAGTACGTCCGACTGGCCTCACAACCGCAGACCACGTGTATGACGTCGCATGGGCGAGTGGTTTGCTGATGTCAATGTTGTGAACAGAGTGCCCCATGGTGGCCGGTGGGGGTATGGGCAGGCATAAGCTACGGACAACAAACACAATTGCATTTTATCGATGGCAATTTGAATGCACAGAGATACCGTGACGAGATCATGAGGTACATTGTCGTGCCATTCATCCAACGCCATCGTGACATGGGGTTGAAACATGAGGCAAGGGTCTGTACACAATTCCTGGAAGCTGAAAATGTCCCAGTTCTTCCATGGCCTGCATACTCACCAAACATGTCACCCATAGAGCATGTTTGGGATGCTCTGGATCAATGTGTATGATATCCAGCAACTTCACACACTCTTTGAAGAAGAGTGGGACAACATTCCACAGGCCACAATCAATAGCCTGGTCAACTCTGTGAAGGAGATGTTGCGCTGCATGAGGCAAATGGTGGTCACTATATACTGACTGACTGGTTTTCTGATCCACGCCCCTACCTTTTAAAGGTATCTGTGACCAACAGATGCATATCTATATTCCCAGTCATGTGAAAATCATAGATTAGGGCCTAATTTATTTATTTCAATTGACTGATTTCCTTCTATGAACTGTAACTCAGTAAAATCTTTGCGTGTCGCATTTATATTTTTGTTCAGTTTAAGTTATTCTGTCTGTTTCTAGAAAAGTAACAGCTAGTGATAGTATCTAGCAGAGTAAGACGTGTTTATGTTTTCGGCCCTCCCCAGAGATGAATCACAAGATGCTAGACTTTGAGCAGTTCCTGCCAATGCTCCAGGCCATCGCTAAGAATAAGGACCAGGGCTCCTTTGAGGACTTTGTGGAGGGTCTGCGCGTCTTCGACAAGGAGGGCAATGGCACAGTGATGGGCGCTGAGCTGCGCCACGTCCTCACAACACTCGGTAAGACCTCAGAACCCCCGATGGCTATGTTTACTTCTCCACTTATGAAAATATTGTTAATTTTCATTGAACTGCAGTCACTGTGTATTTCTTACTTGTATTAGTCAATGGTTTATATTACAGTATATTAGCCAACCATTTATTTCTTGTACATGAGAGCTCTACTTCAGCTTAACACTCCAGACAAACATTACTGCAACCTGCCTTGTGACAATGTTGGAGACATAAATCATTGACTTTCAGCTCTTGATGGTTTTACCTGAAGAATGTTAATTTGGATCAAGAGAAAAGCTTGATCCACACGGCCCTCTTTTCCTTATCAACCTCACCTGACTGGGGTGCCAAAGGTCCTTATTATCACTAATCAGTTATCACCTCTTAAACTAGTGACTCAATGCCCTACCTTATCCATATTGATCCTCTTCATTTGCATCCTGAACATCTGTCTTGTAAGACGATTGAGCAACATAAACAACATAAGACATGGCTTTGTTGATGGTCTCACTCGTTAACTGTATCAGTAGGCCTCTGGGAATGTCTGCTTGGTAGTGGGGTTTACCTTTATAGAATTGCAGATGTGAAAGGTATAGGAAAGATGGGATTCCCTTCCTATACAGTGTCTTGTCTATCTGTTATGAGAATGTAAAAGTTTTTCATTTTTTGTGTTGCAGGTGAGAAAATGACAGAAGAGGAGGTGGAGACTCTCTTAGCGGGACACGAAGACGCGAACGGCTGCATCAATTACGAAGGTAAAGCAGCGTGGTTATGAGATTTGATGGTTGTAAAGGGAGAACACTGAACCTCGTCTTATACTGTAGAATATATCACAATGCTTTAGGAATGACCATTTCACATAGTTTTGAATAATGGAACAATCATGTGGATGATAAGATGTTAATTTTACCAAAATACAATGGCAATTGTCTTGAATGGGATGTACTCATGGATCATGTAAACACAAATCCCTATGAATATTTGATTATTAATAAGTATTATGTGTATGACTGGGTGGAGGTTGTGTTTATTTGATTTCAGGTGGTTGTGTGTGGTGTCCCTTCTCTTGTTTTTTCCCTTCACTGATCTCCCTGTTCCTCTCCCACAGTTTTTGTCCGCCACATCATGTCCGGCTGAGCGGCGGGTACGAGCAGACCCCCTAAAGCCCCCCCCCCCCCTCTCTGTCAGCACCTACCCCAGCAGTGGGCTCTCACCTGCTCTGGGGGATGTGTGTGTAGGGGGGAGGGGGCCTCTCTTCAACCCATCACTGCACAGAATGCTCCTACTCCTAGCAACTGATACCACAGATATATATTTAAGCAAGTAGTTAACTAGCAGGTTACTCTTTATTGTTTCTGGTTGTGTGTGGGGGTGCTCTTACTCAAACACACATTTGAAAGATGGCGTCCTATTGAAGAGATGCGTAGTAAAGGCTATGATACTGATGGCGTATGTAGAGTAGGACATCTCTCTGTGCCGTGATGGTGTTGTCAGAGGCTACAGGGTTCCTGTGGTGGAGTCTGGTTTGAATTTATGATTTGATATCTGTTCTTTTTAACTTTCTCTCCTGCAGAGCATTTCTCTCTCTCCTGCCCTTTCCCCTCTCCTGGCTGTAGCCTGCATGTAGCATCTCTGCATGTGTCTAAGTGGCTCCTGAGGGACCCCAATGGACACTGACTCTCCAACCGGAAGAGGGCAGGACACTGATGGGGGGGGATCTGTGTTAGTTAGACTAGAGGGGTGACTCCTCAACTCTGAATGTGTGGGAGGGTGTTTTGGATCAAGTGGTGTAAAATAAAGCCTTCTCAAGGGTTAAATTGTCGTCCTCTTTACTATAGTGACTTCCTACTAATGCAGAATTGCATTTCCTTGGCTGGTGACATCTGGTCCCTCCGCCCCTTCTCCCCATTGAAGCTCTAACTGTAGGTGTGCTAGACCCTTGATTTAGTTTTTTTCCTCCCTTTCTGTCAGATCCCTCGCTCCTCCTCCTTCCCGCTGTCCTCCTTTTTCTTCTGTTAGAACAGCCCAAATAAGGAGGGGGGCTGCTAATCCTAACACATTTCAGGTTCTGAGGCCTGGCTGAGCAAATCCTTGGCTGTTCTGGCTCGTTAGGAGATGGAGCTTTTCTGAGTCCCTCCCCTCCCTACTGCTCTCATTCCTCGCTCCAGCCTCTGTTCACCCCTTTAATGCAGGTTCTCTCTTCTGACTGACACGTGGAGTCTCTGGATCAGACTCGGGCTGTAGCATCCAGCTCCAGCAGAGAGCTGTGCTCATGTTGGGAAGGAAAACACCTCCTAGAGAACCATGTGGGAGCAAGTCACTAAGTGGACTTGCCTCTGTTGATTCATTGAATTTGTCTCAATGTGGTGTCTGGGCTGTGACATCCTCTGAGTCTGTTTGTCAATTACATCTTGGTGGGAAAATGCTTAGAAAGGCATTTGGGAAAAATGTATGTTTTGGATGGAATATCCCATCCATAATTTATTCTAGGCTATACAAGCCAATCCTTCTAGAACCAAGAGTCAGTATAAAGTCATAAGGAAAATAAGGCACTCTAAATCCTATAGTTGATAGGTAGTGCGAGGCTATTTGGGAAAGTGTGGAGGTTGTAGCACTGCTGGTGGAGGCTGTAGTGTTGCTGGCAGATGCTTGAGGTGGAGTTTGCTCTAGGCTTTTCTTCTCACACAGATGACCAAGCATGCTGCTGATGTATTCTTTTTTTTTTTCTCTCCCTCAGAACTCGTCCGGATGGTGATGAGTGGTTGAAGATTTCAAGAACACAACCGGTTACTTTTATTCCCAAATATGTTTTTTCTATTATATACGTAAAGTCTGTCTCGCCCCCATCCACCGTGTCATTCCCCACCCAACTCTTGTTTGCCCTCATTTTGTGATATTTTTTTTTTTCTTTCAGAAGTGCCTTTTCTGTGTCTGAGTTGAGACCCTTTTTCATTTCACTTCAAAATATCATCCAGCCACAGGTGCATGCTATCATGCCTGGCTCGTGGACAGAATCGGCAATAACATTCCCTTGATTATTCCATACATTCCCATCTCCCACCCTGTCACTCAACCCCTGTGTCAGCCCCGTCGCCCAATAGCTGTGTTTTTATACAGAGTTCATTGGCTGAGACCAGCTGTAATGTGGATTTTACCAGGCCAACCAATCATGAAATGGTAGATGATTTACTGTCTCATATGTTGTCTCGAACGATATTTAATAAAAATCCCCAGTTTCTGAAAACGAATGTGTTCTTTCTTTTATATTTTTAATAACACAATGGTGGAGATGTTTTACATTTACATTACATTTTAGTAATTTAGCAGACGCTCTTTTCCAGAGCGACTTACAGTTAGTGAGTGCATATATTTTCATACTGGCCCCCCGTGGGAAACGAACCCACAACCCTGGCGTTGCAAACGCCATGCTCTACCAACTGAGCTACACGGGGCTGTGACATGTAGGCTTCTTTATTTATGTACATGAACAATAGATTGGAATATACAGGAATTCCAATGTTGGCTTCAGATCCAATTCTGATTGGAGTAATTGTTTTATATTGTGATTTGTGTGTTTTTTTTTTTTTTTTTTTACTTGTCTATTTGAACAACTTAAATCTACTTGATTGACTATTTGTTTTACTTGTGCCGGACAAGAGGACAGGCTTAATGTTGAGCCCTGTACTACTATACCTTTATGGACTCCATCCGTTCCTTGTCTCTGCATATAATACACACACGGACACACAGAAACATCCTTCATTTTGTTTAACAGATGTCAGTGGAATTCCAAAACAGCAACCGTGCAGTAATATAAAAATGGATACATCACTTACTAGACCATTTAAGCCATTTTGGCCTAGCCATTCTGGCTATGTGTCCGGGATGGTCCAGATACCTATACGTTCTGGCAACACGTCCAGGACCATTCTGGCTATAAGAATGCATGTGTTTTGAGTTGACACCATGCAATCTAGGAAGTGGTATTCAAATAGTAGAGTATATCCATTTGATAATTTCAGTGAACAGACATCTGTGCTGGCTTTCTCTCAAATGTAAAGGTAATTTGAATATTATTGAACAGTGCTGTATAGGACCTTAATGTAAGGCCTACTCAACATTGTCATAGTATCTTTTTTGCACTAGTCCTTTGGTAAGATGGGTATGTTTCTTATTTGATTGCAGTGGCCCTCTATGGTTCTCTAAGGTATTTGCAGTACTTACACTAGCCCTTTTTATGGTAATGCAGGTATTGGTCTGCTAGCTGCTCCGAGGCAGTAGGCCTTGTATGGTAAAGTGATACATTTTCCCACTAGATTGTTTGTAGTCTCCGTAGTCTGCAGAGTGTCTGTTAGTACTAGGTGATAGTTCAGTGGAAAATAAGAAACCGTTATGTTCAAGACTCAGTAGTCCCATGCATAGGGGGACCGTGTACGGAAGACGACACGCACAGCCTGCCATCTTGTGGTGCCTGCAGTGCAGACAGAGCGTGGATTATTTCCGTAGGCCTAATGTAACAAGAACAAGTGAAAGATCCTCTGTCTATTCCTTCACATGAGGGTTTAGGTTTAGAGCCATAGTCATACTACCAAAAATTCTTAGTGAACTACAGCCTGACTGAAGAACAGTGTCATATCTTTAAGTTTGCCATTGAACAGTCAAGATAGCAGCAATGACCAAACTATACACACGTCACTTGTCATGTCATTTATTTGATTTTTTTAAAACATTTTTTGTAAGTAAAACCTTAGCATCTTTTTTTAAATACGAACTGCAGAGCAATTATTGACACTAATTCATTAACGGTTTGACTGAGGAAAGGTTAATTTCTACTGTATAATCAATGCAATCATTGCTATCGTTAGCAATCATGAAAAACAAACTGAACAGACATGTATTTCATATCACGAAATCCACACAATGTAACAATACAGACACCAAAGCAGTCCATCCATGGTCACGACTAGTGAAGTTTCTAACACTGGCTATCTGGACAAGTTTTATCATCCGAGTATATACGACACTGTCAGTGTGATGTGCTGGTGTGTGATAGTTTGGTATGTCTGTATGAGAACAATGAGCATCACAATTCCTCAGCCTTTGTAACAAATCAAAACAATGGCATGGGGGAGCGATGCAACTGAACTGAAGGAACTCTGGGGAAAACAGATCTATCTTCATGGCATGCATTCACACCCATGCTCACAGTCAGACGTCACACTGATTGACAGGTCATTGCGACCTATCAGGACCACGCACATGACAATGAGGGAGGGGATTAGAGGTTACAAAGTTAATAAAATACAGCAAATAAATGCAAACCGTAATATCAAAGAAACAAGATGGAAAACATGACAGTCAAAAAATATAAAAATAGATAGGCTACATAAAGATATTGTTACAGATATTAAAGGACAGAATTCTCCTCTCTGTAAGCTGAACTGACTTTTGAGATCCCTTGACTTGTACAGTTCTTTTGTAACATTAAAGCCACTTCCATTACATAGTAATCGCTTCATGTGAGTTGGACCTGTCATTGGAAAAACACAAACTATACAAATCTGTGGATTTCCCAAACATCCACAACTCTGGCTTCACCCCACTAACTTATATGGAGAAAATGGCAAACAACATGATTTAAAAAGAAAGAAAATATGTTGGTTTATCAATTAAGAAAGAGTTGTGACGTTGATGTCGGTTATGTCTGAAGTTGCCAATAGGGTTCTTCTGGAGCCTATATCCAATCATTACTTTAGAGTATAATCTTTACAATGGTATGATTCACTGATACTGACTAGCCATACTGGACATGCTGACAGAAACCAAATATGACGCAATATGAAGCATCCATGAATACAAATCATCATATTTGTGTAGTTACTGCTAGGCTTATGATTACGATCTGCTCTGAGAAAGGCCAACTGTTTCAGATCTGAATGTTCAAAAACAGAATAGAGTTAAAGGTCCAATGCAGGGCCTCCCGAGTGGCGCAGCGGTCTAAGGCACTGCATCGCGTTACTACAGACCAGGGTTCATTCCCGGGCTGTGCCACAACCGGCTGTGGCCGGGAGTCCCATAGGACGGCGCACAATTGGCCCAGCTTCGTCCGGGTTAGAGGAGGGTTTGGCCGTGGGGGCTTTACTTGGCTCATCGCGCTCTAGCGACTCCTTGTGGCGGGCCGGGTGCCTGCAGGCTGATACCGGTCACCAGTTGAACGGTGTTTCCTCCGACACATTTGTGCGGCTGGCTTCCGGGTTAAGCTGGCGGGTGTTAGGCGGGTCATGTTTCGGAGGGCGCATGACTCCACCTTCGCCTCTCCGGAGCCCGTTGGGGAGTTGCAGCGATGAGACACGATCGAAAAAGGGCGGTAAAATACAAAAAAAATGTCAAATTTTTATCTCAATATCCAATCATTTCTGGATAACAATTAAGTACCTTAATGTTATTGTTTTCAATTAAAATGATCAAAAAATAAATAAATAGCTTCTTAGCAAAAAGCAATTTCTCAATCAAGAAATTTCGCTAGGACTGTCTGGATGTGGTCTGTGAGGGGCCTAATGGGAGGAGCCTAATGGGAAGAGCCTAATGGGAGGGGCCTAATGGGAGGGACATGTAACCTGAAAACTAGCTGTTATTGGCAGAGCGGAGGGCATACTCTCTTTGTTATTGGTCTATTAACTTATACTGCCTAGTGATGTTGCCGTGCAGTCCAAAACCCCACCCTTTTCAAACAGCTCTTACACTAAAGAGCATTATCATCATTTTCACAATTTTACAGTATTATTCCAACCTCATAGTGGTTGGTTTGACTGCACTGCCCATTTACAATGAGGACTTTTAGGACATTGTGACCTGGTCCTCGGGGGCACTGTGACTCTGGGAGTATGTTGCCCTTCATCATTACTTTAAGTGGTTTCTTATGCTCAGTCATAGAGGGATTTTGTCCCTTCAAATTGGAGTGAAACATTTGACAGCATTGTAACAGAAAATCCAGTTAACAGTACATAGTCTTACTAACTGAAATGGCAGTAGGGCAAGATGAGTCCGTTTCCAGGTGGAATACATATTACTACAAAGAGTAATACCATTAGTTCATCCGTTTTCATTGCCCTCACACATACTTTTTAGTTTAGGATACGTCTAACCAACAGGCCAACCCCGAAGCTCTATAATGCCACATTCACAAACATAGGGCAACAAGCAAACAATCCAATGAAATAAGGTGACTTGTTCAATTGATGATCTCATATTTGGAAACTATGACATCGTAGTAAAAGTTAAAAACAAGAAAACAGTTATGTGCTTCAGGTCAATTTAGGCCTAGATTCAATCAGATCAAGCGTTAACCGGCGACAGCCGACACCCGCATAGCTGATGTTTTGGCGGTGTTGGAGGTGTAACTGCTTTGGAGCTGTCAAATCGGTGAGCAGCTGCTCTTGATCATTGTCAGGTAGCCACACCCATCTCACTCGCGTCAGAAGTTCATAACGAGAAAATGTAGGCTATATAGAAATAATGACGCTCAAATTGAATATCATTAAACAAAATAATGAGGATTTCTATCAGCCTAATCGAGGTGTAGATCATAGATCTCACATTCCAGTATTCAAACTTGTAAACAAGGCTGCATGGTATTTCTCTTAGGGCTCTATTCAATCTGTAACGCTGAAGTGTTACAGATTCCAAGAAATACATTTAAAGTTAATTTCCGATTGAGCCGACATATGCAGCGTTTACCGTGAATACAGTCTTTGCTAATGCGGGAACATTGCCTTTAAATTTCAATCACGGTGTAAAGCTGAACTTCCGAGATACGGATTGAATAGAGCCCTTAATGCAACTCTGTGCAGCCAATGGCAATGTCCACTTAAGGTATAATGCCAGGAGCCGCGCGTGCTATTTGACCGCTCTAACACAGTTCCACCTCTGACACAGCCAAAACAACAGCTATGCGGATGTTGGCTAAAGCGGATCTGATTGAATACAGCTCTTAGTTAATAATGGTTTGTCTCCAGATATGGGCACCGGGGGGAACATATTTTCAAAGTGCAAATCTTTTTGAAATCTTCTTTAAATTCTAAGTACCTACTAGGGGTACCTTGGGAGAATAGGTAGGTAGGTACCTCTGTGAACATGGCTGGGAACATCTGACCCTCAGTATACTATAGAAGAAAATGAAAGCACCATTGCTAAGACAAGAGTCCTTTAGTTCTCTTCATATCCTCAGGTCAGGTGGCGTATTTACATGACAATACTCTCTTGGTTTAACCTTGGGTCTGATGTGAAGGGTGAAAGTAATTAAGCAACTTATGTCTGTAAAAATGACTGGGGGACTGTTTTGAGGGTGTTTTGAGGGGGTTCTTTTCCACCTAATATTCATTCCGGTAGGGAATGTTTTTGTTTTGTTTTCCTTTCTCATGTCAATCGTCCAGTCCAAATGTTAAACATGATCAAAGTTCGTTGTATCTCCTTCAGTTTGACTTCTTCATTTTCAGATGATACAGGCAGAATTCATAGGTACAAAGTGGTCAATGTCATTCAGTTTGCCAGGACCTTTTCCCTGTCTCTCTCTCTTTTCCCTCCTCTCTCTCCCTACCTATCTCTCTTTCTTTCTCTCTTTTCACTGTGGAGTGGGAACAGGGGCTGAGGAGTGGAGTGTATCCCCAGGTAGAGGGGCGCTGGGCTCTGGGTTCAAGAAAAGAAGAGAAGAATTTGAGATGTGTAACAAAAACACACACATGAACATAGTGCAGAAACATTCAACAGTACAGTTCAAGTTAATTCCACTGGGTCACATTATTAACTTTATACAGTATTAGGTAACTACTGAAAATTCACAGTTGGTCAATACAAAGTGTGACTCACCGTGGAGTGTTGGGGTGGTGGTGGTGCTGGAGTGGCCTGGCGGGCGGGGAGGTGTGGTGTGAGGACCACTGGGGGGCGGCTGGGGCTCGGTGGGCTGGGCCTGGGCAGAGGAGGGGCCAGACATGGGGACGGAGGAGGCAGGGGGTGCTGGGCTGGGAGCTGGCTGTGGTGCAGGGATACTGGGGGTCGGCTGGGACTGGGTGGCTGAGGGGCCCTGGGGTGGGGGGGGCCGGGGCAGGGTGTGGGCCTCCAGTCTGGCTATGCTGCTGGTGCTGGATCTGTTGGAAGTGCTGCTGACGCGCCCTCATCTCTGCATACTTCAACTGCTCCATGTGGAACGACTGACGGTCTGCCAGCAACTGCTGCCTCTGGTACTCCAACTACACACATACGCACACATTGTAAGAACATGTAAATGCGCAGTCCAACCAACAAAGCAAAACCAACTAACAAAACCATCAAGTCCACTTAAACTACATCCCCCATAATCCTTCGCTACTCCCTGACTCACAGCCTCCCTTTCTCGGTCCATGATAGTCTCCAGCTCTTCAAAGTGTCTCAGTTTGATCTCCAGCTTCTTCATCTGAGTCTCCACCAGCAGAGCCACCAGAGACTTGATCTTCCTCTCCTCCACCGCAGCCAGGTGCTACGGAGAGAGAAAGACAGAGAGAAGGAGGGAGGGAGAGGGGGATGGAGAGGAAGAGAGAGAGAGAGAGAAGAAGTATGGGGGAGAGAGAGGGTAGAGAAAGATAATCTTTAGTATGTGAAATAGCACAGACATATACTGAACAATCTATGGTTGATAATCAATATGAGAGACGGAGATAGTAGAAGTTGTCCCTAACCACTGATACAGGGTCCGATATGTTTTACGGACTGGCTGCGGATCCAACTTTTTTGGACCCACTAAAGGTCCTGAAGCTTCTGGCATTTGCGGTAGAGAACAGGCTACTCTGGCAAATGGTGCTCGTTTAATAAAGTTAGATAAAAACTGAATCAATGTCTGCAAGATCACATAATGAGAGTATTCTACATAACAGAACTGAATATAATAGCATAGTATAACGTTACTGTAAGACAAAAAACACCACATAATTTCTTATGAGATTTTAGGATGATTGTACGAATGGTCACATTTTTCTATCATGTGGCCTCAACAGTGTGCGCCATTAGGCAAAATATGTGCTTTGATTTAAACTAAAACACAGGTAAGCTATGCTACAGTTTAACACTATCTGCTAAAAAATGTGCTCATTGTATATAATTCAGAACACTGTAGGCTACTTGAAACAACACTGTATAACTCAAGAAGATCTAAATGCATATCCCCACGAAACTGATTGAGATCAAATGGTCGGTATGCAGATGCTGCATGGACGACTCACCGTTAAAACTTGAAGAATTATCATTCACGATTGACAGTGAGGGTGAACACAACAATGTGTGCGTAAAGTAGAGGTAAAGAAACACATGCACAGAACGTGATTCGGATCTTCAGCTCTGGGGAAAAGGGATCCAGGGGGGCAGGTCGGGGCGGTTACCTACGGATCCACAGCCTCTGCCAATCTTTTTTGGGATCAGGTGCCTCCTAATGTAATCGTATGAACTATGGAAAAACTGATCCTAGATCAGCACTCCTACTCTGAGAAGCTTGATACATACAGCCCCTGATGCTAGATCTGATGTTAGGGGCATCATGCTAAACAAGGGTCAGAAGTCAGACCTTGGCTTTGACGGCAGCAGCAGCCAAGGCGGAGGCAGCAGCGGTAGCCAGGTTCCCTTCTCCCACGTCCCGCTCCACCTTAGCCTTCCTTTCTCCCTCGCTCTCTCCTTCTCTCTGGCCCTCCTCCAAGCCATCCTTCCCTTCCTTCTCCTTCTCTCTGTCACCTAATGCAGAGAGGGAAACATAGAAGTCACACTTAATTGAGTGTCTGTAAAATACAAGAGAGACAGAGATACATTCAAATTCAGTCACAGACATAAACATTACCCATCTCTGTCTCTGTCTTCCCAGCCTCTCGCTCTCTCTCTCCTTCTCCCTCTCTCCCTCTCTCCTCCTCCTTCTTCCCGTTTTCTCCTTGCTTCTCCTCTTCTTCCATGGCTCCATCTTTGTTCTCCTGTTATCACCATGGGGATAAGGACAACATGGTCAGCTCCTTACTGATACTTGAGCATCAATCATCACAACATAGACAATTCAGACCCAGACCGTAACTGGTTTGCCAGAAGATGAGACAACACAAACACAGGTACAGTAGAAGTCCAAACAGACACCATACCTTGGTCTCCCTCTTCTCCTCACTGGATTGGCTGTCACTCTTACACTCCTCACTGCTCTCTTCTGGAGGCAGAGAAAAGAGAAATGAGATGTCAGCAAGCCTAGCGTCTTACGTCTACCCACCTGCAACTCATTTTTCAATTCAGTTCGATAAACTATTGACATACAGTACATGTGTAAATATGACCAAAGACAACTATAGTTTTAGATAATAGTAGATCGAAGCTGTACCAGGTTTGTCTCCTTCCTCCAGGCTGGTGCCTGCGATGCCGCTGCCCTCCAGGCCGTAGAGGGGGTCCTGTCTGCCACTGGCCCGCGCCGCCTCCTCCACTCTCCTCACATGGGCCTCCACCAGTGCTGCTGGGACCTCCTCCTTCATACGGGAAAACTCCTCTGAGAGAGAGAGAGAGAAGAAAAGAGAAGTAATGAATGGTGGAGAAAAAAGCAGGGGGCTGGTTCTAAACCGTTGAATGATACACCCAATACACAATCCATCTCTAAAATGTCTCTCGAGAGACAAAAAAAAATCCAAACCTCAAGACCCCTCCTGGTAAACAACAGTTAACAAAAAAATTATCTGACACAAATCAGGCCAGTCTTTACTCTGTGTGCTCCGACCGACGGTTAGTTAGTGAGTTGACCTCTCACCCAGGGCAGACTTAGCGGCTGCAGAGGCCACGCGGGGGTCCACCACGGAGGCCAGGAAGGCCACGGTGCTCATGACGGGATTGCCTGCCTGGCTGAAGGGGACAGGCTGGTAGGCCAGGGGGCCCAGGGACGAGGACGTGTCCTCCAGGTAGGGGTCCTCGATGGGCAGACGCAGGAAGTGCAGTATACACTCATCCTGGGTACGTGAGCCCACGTGCTCCGACACCTTGTTCCAGTCATCCTTGTACATCTCCAGACCCTGAAAGGGGAGGGATGATATGATTGATATTCATAATGTTATATTAAGCCTTAGGTTTTGTTTTCAGATAAGTGCTTTGTGTGTTTTTGTTGTTGTTCCTCTCAACACTTTTTCAAGTTCAAGTTTATTTGGATTTAAAGGGCATTTTGTTGAACCATTCTGCTGAATGGTAATAAACTAGATGAGACAGAGTTGAGTTGTTAGTTACCTCTAGCAGCAGTAGTGTCTCCTGTTCGGTCCAGTCTCGCATGGCGTTGGCAGCACTTTTACTCTGCAGACAGGAAGAAGTAATATCACTGTAACACATCATTACTCTTTAATAGTTAGCTATACAGTGCATTATGATCCTCATCAGTCCTGCAGTGTTGTGAGCCATACCTTAGGAGGCCCATTCTTCTTGCTGTAAATGTCTGTCCTCAGGCCAAAGTTCTGCAGGTCGGCTGGCTGCTTCTCCTTCACCTTGTCTGGGAAAGACAGAATCTGCTGTGCCGCCGGAGTCTAGAGGGGACAGAGAGAGAAGATAAGTGGAGTGAAACTACAGTCAAATAGAGAGACATCTAGAACCAAAATATAGATACAATTTGTGTTCGTGCGTGTGCATATGTTCGTCTGTGTGTGTGTGTGTGTACCTGGGAGGCCTTGGGTTGCAGGGGCACCAGGCTGGAGGGGGTGTCAGCCAGGACGTGGAAGTGGGAGGTGGGCGGGGGGCCCATGGGGGTGGGACGGCTCTCTGAGTCCACCTGGTAGTTGATCAGACCCCACTGCTCCAGGAACGCATGCACCCTGAGGAGAGGAGGAGGACAGAGGGATAAACGGAGGAGGTAAATATTACTGCATGTAGATGAAAAGACAAGAATACACAACAAAGACAGTGTGTACACAGTGTACTACAGCAGGGGTGTCAAACACCTGCCCCGCGAGGGGGTCCAATCTGCCCGAGGGTGGTTTGAGTAAAACATTAAAATTAAAATGGGGGGGGACAAACTCAATATACTTTAAAATGTCTAAAACCAAATCGAAACTGTGTAGAAATTACACTGTTTCTTGACCGTGTCCAGCTCGCTAATAATCACCGAAATGAAAGCTAGACAGTCAGGCAGCATCGAAAGGCAAGAGGACTATTTTTTGCAAATTTTGACGACAAGGAAATATAACCAATTTTCAGTGCGGCCCTCCGGACCTCGTTGAAGACCGAATGCGGCCCGCGGGGCAACATTAGTTTGACACCCTTGTACTACAGTGTTAAACCAGCCTGATCTGAGCGCAGCGTTCTGCTTTCACGAAGCTAGTATTATACTCTTCTTATAAGAATTACAAAACGGAGTAAACTGTACTGTTACTGTTGTAAATGTCATGTGTGCACCGAGTTCTCCTCACCTCATGATGGCACACACGTCTCCGGCTAGGTTCCTACGACAAGCGGTGGAGGTGAGGTACTCCTGCGGGTTAAGCCTGTACGTGTCAATCATGAAGTTCCTGTAGGCCAGGTAACTGTGAGGAGAGATAGAGATTCTTGTCAGTAAATATGCAGTTAAGTCACTCCAAACTTGAAAGCTGTGTGAAAGCTGTTGTTTTATACATAACACAGAAGAGTGTACATGTGTATGAGCTAGGCATGTGTAATAATAATATGTTAGCATGTGTTTACTCACATCTCAGGGGTTTTGGATTTGTTCTTGCCGTTGAAAAACTCTGGGAGGGCTCTGCGCTCGATAGCATGGACACTGGGAAAGAGAGAAAGAGGTTAACATTCAGTAGACTAGCTATACCATTTAAAAACATTTCTCTAGAACAGGGATGGACTGACAGCCCGCACCCTCGGATCTCAACTTACTGTTGCGAGTTAGAATAGTAGAATACACAAGGTTCAATTTCAAAATGTGGTTGCGCATCAGCAGCTTTTTTCTTGTTATGTCAGTCACTGATAGTCAGTCAATTAGCCATGTCAGCTAAAATGTTTTAGATTGCTAAGTTAGTTTAGCGGCCAGCTATCTAAACTTGTTATCATGGTCAAATTACTGCCCGTTGACCCCCATTGATTTTGTTAGTCTTACTCAGATATCATATATCAGTTAAAAACTGCAAACATCTCTCTCCACCCCATGGCAAAATGTGTAGAATTGCAGAACATTTTCTGTAAAACAGCTCATTTTCCTCTCCGCCCCATGTCAAAATGAGTAGAATTGCATGAAGTTAGTTATAAAATTGCAGAATATTCTCTACGCCCCATGGCAAAATGTGTAGAATTGCACGAAACTAACTCTAAAACTTAAGACCATTAGGCTGATGATCCGGGGGTGGGGGGATGTGTAGCCTACCTGTTGTAGTCGAACCAGGCAGCGTAGCTGGGAATGATGATGTGGTGGGTTTGCTCAGTCACGTTGTCCTCATGGAGGTCCGACCCTTTCACCGGCTCTCCTTTCACACTCGGAGAGCCCTCCTCCTCCTCCTTCTCTGCAGTTTCCATGGATTCATCCTCTTGCTCATCTGTTCAAAAGATAAAAGAGGAGAGAATGAACATACAGATCAGCGGACAGATAAAGGATAGACTAAGCTCAAATATAGTGACCTCACCCTGCAGACAGTGTACACACTGAGATGTAAAGTTATGATGTGATGTGTGTGTTGTGCATCAGGTTGGGTACTGTGACAGCAAAAAATAAAACATATCTGTGCATATGGACCAATAAAGCAAGTATTGTATTGATTAAATAGTTCAGGGAACTCACCCAGGTCTGTCATGGTACCTCCCTTCACTGGTGTCGACTCAGAGTCTTTCTTAGTGTTGGCTACAGAGAGACAGAGAGGGGGGTGGGGGGGGGGGGGAGTTGCATTTCCTGTGACACAACACTTTAGTTCAACCCCTGACCTTCAGTCACAATGATGGTACTAATGTTTCAACCACTGTAAATATCAGGAGGATAAGCCAATGGGCTGAGTCAAAATCTTAGATAATAAAGTGTATGTGTGCGTTAGAATGTTCACTAACAAAATGTCATATGTACTGTACATGTGAGTGTGTGTGTGTGTTGTGTACCTGTCTTAGGTAGGGTGACCTCCTCTACTGCAGGTACAGGTGATGGTTCATCCAGATCTTTAGTCAGATCCTCAAGCTCCTCCTCTCTCTGGCCTCGCTTAGACTTAGTGTACGGAGTGGTGGGCCTACACACACACACACACACAAACACACACACACACACACACGAAGTCAGTCATACTGTATAGCATCTAAAGGCTAGTATTTCATAGTCATAGTGTGTGTCAGCAATCTACAGATCTCCCAATAACACCTCTACAAAGGGCATTATCCTGGGCTGGTCTATACAGTAGTAAACAAAGGGTAGTAGGGTAACACACACACACACACACACCCTTTCTTGGTGTTCTTCTTCTTGCTTTCCTGGGATGGTGGAGTGGGCGAGGGGGAGGGCGAGCGCTTCCTCTTCTTGGCGCTGCCGGGCTTCTTGTCGCGGCGCTCGTCCCCCGGGGTGGTCACCTCGTCCGTCAGGGTCTTGGCTGAGATCCTCTTCCTCTTGGGGCCCCCCTCTCCCACCTCATAGTCCTCCTCATTCATCCACTCATTAAACTGGTCCAGGTCCAGGATCCACTTGGCATGGACCTGAAGACACACAGTTGTTAATATGATGTCATAAACAGGGTGCGAATTACGGGGGAGCCAGGAGGGGGCTCAGCTCCCCTGAATGAGACATTAGGTCCCCTAAATGCAACAAAAGTCCAACTTTAGGGGGTCTCTAACTAATGCTAATTTAATATTCTCCTATTTGTTTCAAATGCATTGGTAAATATGTTTTACAGTGGTAAATATGAAAATAAAAGCGTCCAAAGGAAACGAAAACTCCCACCTCTCTATCATGGTTTAAAGCATTTATTTATATGTGGTTGCACAAACCGTCTCTCTGTCCACTGTGCTGTCCAGTCAGTAGTGCTGAATTTGGCCTCAGATGAGCTCCTTTAAAACGCATAGATTTTCCATTGTACTTGCTCATTTTTGCCATTTATTTGCCATGCTCCCTTCATAAAAATAGCCTTTATTACAATCCATTAGATTTATCCGTTGATTTATCACTGTTTGCTTTTGTCAGTCAGCTGTTTAGAGCGCTCATTGCTTTGCTTTTCAGGTGTGTGCGGGTATTGGTGTTTTCTGTGCCGTCCATGGCCAGAAGTAGACCATTTATTTAGCTTTATTATTTTCTATCAATATTTGTTTCCTTTCCTGGATCAGCTGATGATGGTCGATAATATCACTAGACAACTAGCCTACAGCTAGACACCAATGTGCATCCAAACTATCCAACAGTAATGACAGTTGGCCTGTAGTTGACTCTTTCAGTTAGTAACAATTGATTTTGCAATGGCATAGGCTTACATTATTTTGGATTTGTGTGCCTCTGAGAACTGTTTTCACGGCAAAACATAATGAAATGTTACGTAGGCATAGTTACACTTTCAGGGAGTTTTTAGAGATCTCCAAGATCCAGGAATCGTACAGAGTTTAAATTCAATGTTCTAATTTAATTGTTAAATGCTTAGTAATTAGAAATAACACTGTCATAAATGTCATTCATGTAAAGAAAGAAAGGTTGTGTTTTATGCCACACGATCTGTGAAAACTCCAAGCACTCAATTCATGAATTGTGGACTACGGTATAAAAATGTTTTGATTCAACTCATGTATTATATTGAATTGAACTACCTGTTCTGCGTCTGTTCATGTGTGTAAAATTGCCTCGGCTGAGAGGGTATGCTGGCAGTGGTATAGGCCTATTGGAGGGTAAACACAGCTAAATGCAGTTTACCCACCTTTTTCAGACAAATGCATGGAATGTTTAGGGAACGTTACTTTTTTCATCAAGACCGGCAATCAGAGTTTACCCTTTTTTTTTTATACCACTACCGGTAGGCCTATCTGAAGTTCATGGTAATAGGCCTACAATTTGTAGCCTAGAGTAGTAAATTCACCGTGTGTATTAGGGTGACCATACCGTTTTCCCCAGAACAGTTTCAGCCCCATTTCAGGTGTCCCAACCTTTCAGGCTACAAAAAAGGTCATTAGGCACATTTTTTTGTGTTTTGTAAACAGATCTCTATTTCCATTCATCAAATGGACTGTTTGGATTGTTTTGGAGTGGTTGAACATGCACAGGTAGCCTACTTTTTGAAGTGATTTGTTTGACAATCAGATGAAAGCACCATGACTGTTTGTGCTCATGCCACATTGAAAGGTAATTCATTTTTACCATTAAATGACGTCTTTATTATTAGGCCCATAAGTCATAGACACCCCCCAATAGAGACGCCCCGAATGTCACAGTGTAATTCACACTCTGTTCATAAACATGTTAATATGTTAATCATTTCTTACATGTATATATGAGAGAGAGCGAGAGAGCTGTGTCTGAATACCGGTACTTGCATAATTAATAGTACGCTGATTACTGTATATATGCGAAAATATAAAGTTTTATGGTATGTGAGATTTCAAAAATGTTGTATGCTTTAAATGTAAGGATGTCATACTAATTTCTGCTCTTCATCTAACACCAATTCGCTGCATGCTATTGAGGAAGAGAATAGTATTTTCAGACCCACGTGTTTGACAAGGGGACGTGACGAGCTGTCCAAAATGAATGAATGGTGGGTACTATCAGTATGTTCTAAATAGTAGGCTACGTAGTATGGTTAGTACATAGTATAGCATTTTTGTAATTAGTAGGCAAGAACGATTTGGGGCACAGCCCTGACACACACAGAAAGAGAGGAAGAAAGTGTGCTGACCTTCCTGGGTTTCTCTGGGCTGGGCGGATCTTCCACAGCAGCCTCCACCTCACTGGCTGAGATCCAGGTGTCATAGCTGAGCAACAGGGGACAGAGGTCAGATGGAGGTCAGAGACTAGTGTCAGTCTAGTGCACTACATGTCACAACATGGTGCTATAACACAGGCTGAGAAAACAGTGTGGAACTGTTTGTGTTTGTCATGGTGTAAGAATAGGTAAAGGAGATGTGGGTATGGGTTAGAGAGAATGTTAGTGTACATTCACTGTGTGACTTTACTCGATAGTGTCAGTGTCGCCGGTGTTAAGAGCATGCTGTGCTGCTAAAGGCTAAGGTTGTGTTGACTGTGTCAGGCTGAGGCCCCAGTATGGACAGTACCTACCTGTCAGGAGAGTATCCCCAGTGGAGCAGCACCTGCTTGTCTCTCTTCATCACCGGACGCACCCACTCCTCTGAACCAACCAGGGGGTTGGTGAGAGAGAGAGCGAGAGAGGGGGGGGGGGGGGGGGGGGGGGGGGGTCAGATCCACAGAATTAAATAGAACACAATGGATCTGGAATATAATATACAGTGGGGAAAAAAAGTATTTAGTCAGCCACCAATTGTGCAAGTTCTCCCACTTAAAAAGATGAGAGAGGCCTGTAATTTTCATCATAGGTACACGTCAACTATGACAGACAAATTGAGGAAAAAAATCCAGAAAATCACATTGTAGGATTTTTAATGAATTTATTTGCAAATTATGGTGGAAAATAAGTATTTGGTCACCTACAAACAAGCAAGATTTCTGGCTCTCACAGACCTGTAACTTCTTCTTTAAGAGGCTCCTCTGTCCTCCACTCATTACCTGTATTAATGGCACCTGTTTGAACTTGTTATCAGTATAAAAGACACCTGTCCACAACCTCAAACAGTCACACTCCAAACTCCACTATGGCCAAGACCAAAGAGCTGTCAAAGGACACCAGAAACAAAATTGTAGACCTGCACCAGGCTGGGAAGACTGAATCTGCAATAGGTAAGCAGCTTGGTTTGAAGAAATCAACTGTGGGAGCAATTATTAGGAAATGGAAGACATACAAGACCACTGATAATCTCCCTCGATCTGGGGCTCCACGCAAGATCTCACCCTGTGGGGTCAAAATGATCACCACACGGGGGGACCTAGTGAATGACCTGCAGAGCTGGACCAAAGTAACAAAGCCTACCATCAGTAACACACTACGCCGCCAGGGACTCAAATCCTGCAGTGCCAGACGTGTCCCCCTGCTTAAGCCAGTACATGTCCAGGCCCGTCTGAAGTTTGCTAGAGTGCATTTGGATGATCCAGAAGAGGATTGGGAGAATGTCATATGGTCAGATGAAACCAAAATATAACTTTTTGGTAAAAACTCAACTCGTCGTCTTTGGAGGACAAAGAATGCTGAGTTGCATCCAAAGAACACCATACCTACTGTGAAGCATGGGGGTGGAAACATCATGCTTTGGGGCTGTTTTTCTGCAAAGGGACCAGGACGACTGATCCGTGTAAAGGAAAGAATGAATGGGGCCATGTATCGTGAGATTTTGAGTGAAAACCTCCTTCCATCAGCAAGGGCATTGAAGATGAAACGTGGCTGGGTCTTTCAGCATGACAATGATCCCAAACACACCGCCCGGGCAACGAAGGAGTGGCTTCGTAAGAAGCATTTCAAGGTCCTGGAGTGGCCTAGCCAGTCTCCAGATCTCAACCCCATAGAAAATCTTTGGAGGGAGTTGAAAATCTGTGTTGCCCAGCGACAGCCCCAAAACATCACTGCTCTAGAGGAGATCTGCATGGAGGAATGTGCCAAAATACCAGCAACAGTGTGTGAAAACCTTGTGAAGACTTACAGAAAACGTTTGACCTGTGTCATTGCCAACAAAGGGTATATAACAAAGTATTGAGAAACTTTTGTTATTGACCAAATACTTATTTTCCACCATAATTTGCAAATAAATTCATAAAAAATCCTACAATGTGATTTTCTGGATTTTTTTTCCTCATTTTGTCTGTCATAGTTGACGTGTACCTATGATGAAAATTACAGGCCTCTCTCATCTTTTTAAGTGGGAGAACTTGCACAATTGGTGGCTGACCAAATACTTTTTTTCCCCACTGTATCTATCAGTCCATTGTTAGCTACTAGACCAATTCACTTTCCAGGCATAAATTCAAGCCACATTTTTGTCATTTAGCAGATGCTCTTATACAGAGCAACTACGGTTAAGTGCCTTGCTCAAGGGCACAGACACATTTTTCACCTAGTCAGCGCTGGGATTAGGTTACTGGCCCAACGCTCTTAACCTCTAGGCTACCTGCCACATTAGGTAACGTTTGATCCATAATGTTAGACTGACTCACCCTCCTCCAGACTGGCAGGGATGGGAACCACCACATGGGAGCTGCATGTATTGTCTTCAGTCACTGAGCCCTGCAGGCAGCAAACAAACTCTGCTTAACTGTGTTTTTATATTGTGTTGTATTGTATTGCACTGTATGTGTACTCCATATACAGTTTCATCATTAGGTCAGTGAAGACAAGCCTACTTGGTGCCTCTTGATGATGTCCTTCAGTTTCCCCAGCAGCTTGGCCTCAATGTCAGAGCTCAGGTAGATCACTGGTCGACTCAGACAGTTGTTCTAATGGACAAATGGCAAGAAAGAGAGAGAGGGTGAATAAGAAAGAGAGGGACACAGATCAATAAATAAATAAAATAGTTTTCCAAAGAAGAACACGGAAGACTGACCTGTACCAGGGATTTCTCGATAGTCATGAACATCTCCACATTGCGGTCCATCCGAGAAGGATTCTGAAAGTCAAACCTGCGCCTGCCATGAAGACAGACAGGAGTAAAAAATCTCACAGAACCTCTGCAAATACTTCTATAAAAATACATCATTGTCAAAATGAAAAACATCTCAAGGTTCAATCTATTTTGTTTAATCTTAAACAGAACATTTCAACCATACAACTGGGTTGAATTCATTTGAGGGGAATGTAAGTGTAGTGAGCCAAACAAAATTGGATGGCTTTAATGAAACTCTTACCAGCCCTGATCGCTCTTGAACTTGTAGGCTGCAGCCAGAATGTGGCAGAGAGCCCCACCAGACTTAAAGTCCAGGAAACTCTTCATCTGAACAGAAAGACAGAGGGTTAGGTACAGTATTAGAATAGTGTAATAGGGGAAGCACAATACCAAATTGTGTGTGTGTGTGTGTTTATGTGTGTGTGTGTGTGTGTGTGTGTGTGTGTGTGTGTGTGTGTGTGTGTGTGTGTGTGTGTGTGTGTGTGTTTCTACCGGCAGCCTGGTGAGAGGTGGGTTGCTGACATGTCGTCCGAACACCTCCTCCTGAAACTGCAGTAGCTGGACCACCAGGCTAGACAGAGACTTGTTGGTGGGGGGCTCCGCCTGGATGTACTGAGGGACGAGAGAGAGAGAGAGGATTTACATGGAAATATCCGGATAAATAGACATTGTAACTAAGTTAGTTTGTGTGTGCTTGTGCGACAGCGAGACAGAGAGCGATAAAGAGAGAGAGAATAGGATATTTTTCTATATCCACCATAGAACTTTGATAGTTTGAACACTACAATTAACAAAAACATAATTAATGTGGTCAAAGAAACTACAGGTTTCTTTACGTGAATCTTTGCATTCTTTCTGTCTGGGCCAGGTTGAGAATGGTGGGGCTAAGCACATGCTCTGAGACAATAGACAGGGCTTTTTGGCAACACTATAATGAGAAAATTCTGCACACCATCTGGGAGGGGGTAAAAGGGGGCGGATCATTAAAACTCAAGGCGCACATATTGCCCTAAAAGAACATGGTGTGCAATGGGGTGAAAGATAACACCGAAAGCGCCGGTAAAAAGACAGTTCAACATCTGGATTTGTGCACTTGCGCTGGCGGTGCTGTGGCCGGAGTATAGACATCTGCAATCAATGAAATTACCGTTAGATAGCTAGATGGGTTTCCTCCCCTTGAACAAAAACCTGCAACACAGGCCATTCATTTCCCTCTACTGAAAGAGGGTAGAAACATGCACTTAGAACATATCAAATGTTCATCATTTGCAACGCGGCATTTCCCAAGACGTTTTCTCAGCATCCTTTTGTTTCCGTCTTGTGAATATGTGGATTAAACAGCTGGACTATCCTGCAACCCATCTCATCTCACACCCTCCCTCTCCTTTCTCTTTGCTCACTCCTTCTGCTGTTAAGATTGCCCTCTTTCATGTTTGATAATATGAATGCGTGTATTTATTACTTTAGCAAAAAAACAAGCAGTACCTTTTTATAATTCTTGCCCAACCAAACGCGGACATTGTCGAACTGCGAGACGGTATCAGACGCTTCGAAATATTTTACGTTCGGGCCGCCGTCTTTCTTCCGCACCGCCATCTTTGTCTGCAGAATGACAGCGGCCTGGTGGTTGAAAGACGATACTGCAGCCGGTGGGCCCATTCCTGCCACTGTAGTTGCAGTACGTGTACAACAGGTGGCGTCATTGTATAATGATAAAACACTGCACAGTAATGTCTGTGCATTGTTTTAAATACAGCTTCCAGACAGCGCACATTGTGAATGTAATGTAGGCTTACTTTTTCTAAAATGGTTTAAAAAAAAATATCCACAAATAAGCAAAGGATTAAAGATTAAAGGGATACTCCGGGATTTTGGCAATGAGGCCCTTTATTTACTTCCCCAGAGTTAGATTAACTTGTGGATACCATTTTTATATCTGTGTGTCAGTATGAAGGAAGTTAGAGTTAGTTTTGCGAGCCAATGCTAACTAGCATTAGTGCAATGACTGGAAGGCTATGGGTATCTGGTAGCATAGACTTCCAGTCATTGCGCTAACACTAGTTAGCAATTGCGCTAGCGCTAGTTAGCAACTTCCTTCAAACTTCACGCAGAAATGGTATCCACAAGTTCATCTGACTCTTGGGAAGTAGATAAAGGGCCTCATTGCCAAAATCCCAAAGTATTCCTTTAATAATATATTGCAGAAACACCCATTTCACAGTGTTCCAAAGACAGAAACGCAGCTCCTATTCTCCATTTCCGCCAGTCTCCGCATACCCCTCATTAGCACTAGGATAGATGTATATGTTTGTGCGTGAGTGTGTGCGTGCCTGCGTGGGTGTGTGTGTGGATTTCATTACTGTTGTGTGTATGGGTTCATACAAGACAGTGTTTATGTGTGGCAATGTGTGAGTAATTGAAAGTCTACATGTGCCTGTCTGTCTTGAGTGTATGGGGGTGTGCATGTGACCAGGCAGAATGTATGTATTTCTGTCTGTGTTGCTGGTGTCTGTGTGGTGTGTGTGTGTGTGTGTGTGTCTGTGGTGTGTGTGTGTGTGTGTGTGTGTGTGTGTGTGTGTGTGTGTGTGTGTGTGTGTGTGTGTGTGTGTGTGTGTGTGTGTGTGTGTGTGTGTTTGGTGCTGGAGAGGAGAGAGTGAAGCCTATTGATTATTTTAATCCTCCTATTTGTGAGTCTGTGATCCTCTCGGCTCAGCCTTCCACAGGGGGATTGCTAATGGGCCCGAATGCTTCCCTCCTATGCCCTCGCTCCCTGTCCAATTAACTTTACACTGGAATCTGCCAGGATAGAGTGTGAGGAGGAGGGGAGACTGCCGAGGTATCCCCCCCCCCCTTACACCACCACTATCCCTCCAGTCTCCCGTAGGCAACAAATTCAGCATCCAGAATACTATTACCTCTCACCTTTAATTAAATATCTGTCTGCTTGTTTTCACTCTGACGAGATGAGACCACAGACTGGTTCACTGAGGGTGGGAGCAGGACACGGGTCTATTCTGTAATTCTAGAGTATTGCTTGTGGTTTCATGGGTTAAGAGATGGGATGCTGCCATTTTATATGAGGAAGGGATTTCTCTATCACCTAGCTAACTGTGGTAATAGTGAGATAAAAAAAATTAAGAAAGTTGCAAACTCAGAAAGTATTCATACCCCTTGACCTATTCCACATTTTGTTGTGTTACAGCCTGAATTAAAAATGGATTAAATATATTTTTTTCTCTCACTGTTCTATACAGAACACCCCATAATGACAAAGTGAAAACATGTTTTTAGAAATGTTTGCAAATGTATGGAAAATGAAATACAGAAATATCTAATTTACATAAGTATTCACACCCCTGAGTCAATACTTTGTAGAATCACCTTTGGCAGCGATTACAGCTGTGAGTCTTTCTGGTTAACTCTCTAAGAGCTTTCCACACCTGGATTGTGCAACATTTGCCCATTATTCTTTTAGAAATTCTTCAACCTCTGTCAGTTTGGTTGTTGATCATTGCTAGACAACCATTTTCAGGTCTTGCCATATATTTTCAAGTAGATTTAAGTCAAAACTGTAACTCAGCCACTCAGGAACATTCACTGTCTTCTTGGTAAGCAACTCCAGAGTACATTTGGCCTTGTGTTTTAGGTTATTGTCCTGCTGAAAGGTGAATTCATCTTCCAGTGTCTTGTGGAAAGCAGACTGAACCAGGTTTTCCTGTAGGATTTTGCCTGTGCTCCATTCCATTAATTGTTTTATCCTGGAAAAACTCCCCAGTCCTTAATGATTACAAGCATACCCATAACATGATGCAGACACCACTATGCTTTAAAATATGGAATGTGGTACTCAGTAATGTGTTTTGGAGTTTCCCCAAACATAATACTTTGTATTCAGGACAAAAAGTTAATTGCTTTGCCACATTTTCTGCATTATTACTTTATTGCCTTGTTGCAAACAGGATGCATGTTTTCCAATGCCTCACAAAGAAGGGCACCTATTGGTAGATGGGTAAAAAAAAAAAAGAAAAGCAGACATTGAATATCCCTTTGAGCATGGTGAAGTTATTAATTACACTTTGGATGGTGTATCAATATAAAGATACAGGCGTCCTTCCTAAGTCAGTTGCCAGAGAGGAAGGAAATCGCTCAGGGATTTCACCATGAAGCAAAACCGTTACAGAGTTCAATGGCTGTGATAGGAGAAAACTGAGGATAGATCAACAACATTGTGGTTACTCCACAATACTAACCTAATTGACAGAGTGAAAAGAAGGAAGCCTGTACAGAATAAAACTATTTTCAATTGTTTTACCCATCTACCAATAAGTGCCCTTCTTTGCGAGACATTGGAAAACCTCCCTGGTCTTTGTGGTTGAATCTGTGTTTGAAATGCACTGCTCGACTGAGGGACCTTACAGATAATTGTATGTGTGGGGTACAGAGATGAGGTAGTCATTCAACAATCATGTTAAACACTATTATTGCACACAGAGTGAGTCTATGCAACTTATTATGTGACTTGTTAAGCAATTTTTTACTCATTAACTTATTTAGGCTTGCCATAACAAATGGGTTGAATACTTATTGACTGAAGACATTTCAGCTTTTCATTTTGAATGAATTAGATGTTTTTTTTGAAAAACATAATTCCACTTTGATATTATGGAGTATTGTGTGTAGGCCAGTGACAAAACATCTCAATTTAATCCATTTAATATTCGGGCTGTAACACAACAAAATATGGAAAAAGTAAAATGGTGTGAATCCTTTCTGAAGGCACTGTGTGCGCCCAACAATTTAATGGGTAAACCTAATAGGTTTATCCATTAAATTGTTGGGAGTATATATAGAGTGAGCGACTTTCTTTACTTATTTTTAGACAGTTTACACTTTGTTAGTCAGCAGCTCTACAAAAAAAATTGAAGACTGAATGTAATTAACATCAATGCTTGACTTGGAATGAAATAGCTGCCAGTGCTCATTTTGGGTGTCGGTACTGAAACATTTAGAAGCCGGTATTCAGTTCCCGTGAGCTCCTGATGTACATACATAAATCCAGTATTAGTCCTTAAGTCTGTAACATTAATTTGTTTTCTCAACCCACCACATATCAACAAAAGAGAATACATTACTGCAGTAATAAATTGATCAAGTTTTTTGGGATTGTAAATAATGACAGCATTAGTGTAAGTCAGACAGTGACTCAGAATCATCTTCACATTGTTTTATTGTAGGTCTTATATATTATTGTCTTAGGACAGATTAAATTGTTGTTGATAATATTATACATAAGATATACACACACAGCTCAGCTTGCAAGGTACAGTGACAACAATCAATTCATACTGTTCATAAACAAAGACCAGGTTTCCTTTTCAACAGTAAGTTATTTAACATTATTTAGTTCCAGGGAACACAGTAGAATGCAGCATGACAAAGAGAGAGGTCATGTACACACAAACAAATCCGTACATTGTGTTGGTTTATATACGATGATAGGTGGTTGTTGTAATACTGTCAGTTAAGATATAGTACAGGAATACTGTTTTCATCTGACTGATGCAGTTTGATAATAACCGGTGTTCTGTCTCTAGATCAAGCCCAAAGCTCTGTCCTGTAGTTGGACCTGAGACTTGACACACACACACCAGCCATATGCTGCAACACTAATGCACACACATGGAGTAGCAGTATAATCCCTGCTGCAGCTACATTTATTCTGTGGTTTTCCTAATACAACAACTTGTTACAATAGAGCCCTCCTCTGAAGTCCTGTAACATGTACAACTACTTACATTAGGTACATGTATGATGCTATAAACTACAGGAGAAGGACCTGCTTTTCATGGTATTGTCTAGGCAGGGCATTCACATTGATGTAAAGATAGTTGTGTTTTTTTAAATGGTCTGACAACGTAATAATGCCCCCCACACTAAAATTGCCATGAAATCCATTCTTGATCGATAACACAAGTGACACAATATAGTCTCATTGCCACCGTGTCAAGTGTTTGCATAACATCTTTGACAGACAGAATCAACCTGAACCTGCATATTTGAATTGCATTTACATAATTAATAATGTATGGTACATTCAATTACACACAATGATGTACATTTCCATTGAAGACAGTCTGTATCTAGTTCTACGGTAGCAGCATACATTTGAAAATGTGAAACTAATTCTGTACAGAGTACAAGATGAATCCTCAATGTCCGTATCCACACTGTAAACAAACAGGCTGCTTACCTTAGAAGAAAATAAGACTCATCATTATACAAATAACCAGCATGCCATGATATAAAGCTCCATCTCTGATTATGCCTGGGTTTGACACCCATTTTAAATTGCTCTGTTATCAATTGAATGTAAAGTGAATATAGGAATAGTAATGGAGTCCCGCCAACAGTTGAGGGTTTAAACACAGGATATCTGGGCTCTTTAGTGGAACATGATGATGCTCTGTCATCCGCCATAAGGTCTGGGAAAATACTGTCTCTGTCTACCATAAGCCTCATCATTGATATCCTGTTTGTTAGGGGACAACCATCACCCCTCCCCACCCCATTAGCTGTAGGCAGGAGCCATGTGGGTAAAACTAACAACATTAAACTTATCTTACACACACACACCACACTGGATGATGTTCGTGGTGTTGGGTGTATTATCAACTCCGATCAATATATTCATGACTTTTCTCATTTGGTGTCTTCAGCCGCATTGGAAATCCATCTTGGAGCGAAGAAGGGAGGCGGGAAGCCCCACAACCAACCTCGCAGTCATCCATTGCAGTCTGCATTCTGAAACCATTTTACTCAATTCCACACTGGTGGCCGAAATGGTCAGCTCGTGTCAATGCAACACTAGATAGGGGAAGTTCAATTAATCACTGTGTGTGTGTTTGCATGTGTGTGTGTGTGTGTAAGAGCTGCATGTGAGTCATGTAAGTATGCTTCCACATACATGATCATACACACAGATGTGTGTGCATCAGAAGTGAATATATATGTAACTTTAAGAATATACACAATATCAAGATGATCTTTAAACAAGTTTTTGTCTTGACATAATTCTTGTTTGTCACCCCATACTTACATGTTAGTTTCATTTACATATCTATGATTCATTGATATCATGAGAATGACAAAACACATGACAAACAAATGGGTGTGTGGGTGTGTGTATTAAATTAACATTTCTATATACACACTTGCAGATTAGATGCCTTGTAACAGCACTTGGTTTGGAATGTTATGGTTTGGCCATTATCTAGACATTAAAAACACAGAGCCATTATTATATTTCCTTTTCCCATTGCATCTGTTTCTCTAAATACTGTGTGTTTTAGCAATGGAGTATGAGAGAGAGAGGGAGAGAGAAAGAGGGAAAAAAAGAGAGCGTAGAGAAAGAAGAAAGAGAGTGGTTGTGAGAATCAGGTTGGATGAGGATCCTGAAAAAGTTGCTGTATTTGTTTGCCTGGGAGATTGTTTGTATGTGGTTGTGTGTGTGTTTGTGTGTGTAACATGTGGCTGCCTTCAGTCGGGGTAGATGAGGAAGCCAGAGAAGGTGCTGTATTTGTTGGTGTTTCCTCCATGAACTTTGCCCCCGTCGAGCTGCACGCACACCTCGTCCCCCACGTCCAGGTGCAGGATGACACTGTTAGAGGCATAGTCATAGTTCAGATCAGCATCCTGGGCTATGGCACTGGCCCTCACCTGAGAGAGACACAGAGAGAGAGAGAAACAGAGTGAGAGAGAGACAGAGGGGGGGTAGGTTGCAGAAAGTGACTAACATGCTGACCACAAAAACATTTGTTTTTACACAAAAACATTTGTTTTTACACATACATGTTATTCAATCATTTCATCCAAACTGCTCGCGCGTGTCAACAAGCGTCTGCATAGAAAGTCCTGCCTCTCCCATCTCCTCAATGGTTTTTAGGAGTATACAGTATACCCACGTGGGTGATTGAAAGCTGAACCTTTCAGTTACTGGCCCAACGCTCTTAACCGCTAGGATACCTGCATAGACTGAGGTTAGCTCATGTTAATTTACAACTACCTTTCCAAGATGGCATCATCTCCCCCAACACACATATACTATAAATCATAAATATTCACTGGTAATAGCCCAGAAGAAGGTATATATGTATATACTGTACATATCACCAAATCCTCTTGGTGATAATTTCCTTTATTTTCACCTCTCTCTTTCTCTCAGCTTCCCTCACCAATCTTCCCTTTCTATTAATCAATTATCTCTCCATCTCTCTCGCTCTCCTCCCATCTCCCTCTCTATTCTCTCTCACTGAGCCATTTAATATGATTTCCTCCTTCACTCAGGGGTCTTGGTATAATGTCATCAGTACAGAGGCCTTGCTGTCCAATGGGCATGTATCGCTCCAAATAGATGAGCTGTGCATTGACCTTTGACCCAGAACCTCCATTGAGAACACAAACTTGCACTAAATCGATTTAATGGGATGTTCAGCAACCTGTTGCAGTGGGACAATTATAGAGATCGCCTCCTAGATGGTTTAGTTGGGGTCAGGGAAGATATGCTTCACCAGAGTGTCAATCTCAAAATCTGAAATTGTTGCATGTTGCGTTTATATTTTTGTTCAGTATAGTACTTTAGAAACTCTCACCAGTCATGCATTTATATGCCTCAGAAAATGATAAAAGTATATTCCATTTATATTCATCATACATGGTATACAGTGGGGAAAAAAAGTATTTAGTCAGCCACCAATTGTGCAAGTTCTCCCACTTAAAAATATGAGAGAGGCCTGTAATTTTCATCATAGGTACATGTCAACTATGACAGACAAATGGAGATTTTTTTTCTCCAGAAAATCACATTGTAGGATTTTTAATGAATTTATTTGCAAATTATGGTGGAAAATAAGTATTTGGTCACCTACAAACAAGCAAGATTTCTGTCTCTCACAGACCTGTAACTTCTTCTTTAAGAGGCTCCTCTGTCCTCCACTCGTTACCTGTATTAATGGCACCTGTTTGAACTTGTTATCAGTATAAAAGACACCTGTCCACAACCTCAAACAGTCACACTCCAAACTCCACTATGGCCAAGACCAAAGAGCTGTCAAAGGACACCAGAAACAAAATTGTAGACCTGCACCAGGCTGGGAAGACTGAATCTGCAATAGGTAAGCAGCTTGGTTTGAAGAAATCAACTGTGGGAGCAATTATTAGGAAATGGAAGACATACAAGACCACTGATAATCTCCCTCGATCTGGGGCTCCACGCAAGATCTCACCCTGTGGGGTCAAAATGATCACAAGAACGGTGAGCAAAAATCCCAGAACCACACGGGGGGACCTAGTGAATGACCTGCAGAGAGCTGGGACCAAAGTAACAAAGCCTACCATCAGTAACACACTACGCCGCCAGGGACTCAAATCCTGCAGTGCCAGACGTGTCCCCCTGCTTAAGCCAGTACATGTCCAGGCCCGTCTGAAGTTTGCTAGAGTGCATTTGGATGATCCAGAAGAGGATTGGGAGAATGTCATATGGTCAGATGAAACCAAAATAGAACTTTGTGGTAAAAACTCAACTCGTCGTGTTTGGAGGACAAAGAATGCTGACTTGCATCCAAAGAACACCATACCTACTGTGAAGCATGGGGGTGGAAACATCATGCTTTGGGGCTGTTTTTCTGCAAAGGGACCAGGACGACTGATCCGTGTAAAGGAAAGAATGAATGGGGCCATGTATCGTGAGATTTTGAGTGAAAACCTCCTTCCATCAGCAAGGGCATTGAAGATGAAATGTGGCTGGGTCTTTCAGCATGACAATGATCCCAAACACACCGCCCGGGCAACGAAGGAGTGGCTTCATAAGAAGCATTTCAAGGTCCTGGAGTGGCCTAGCCAGTCTCCAGATCTCAACCCCATAGAAAATCTTTGGAGGGAGTTGAAAGTGTGTTGCCCAGCGACAGCCCCAAAACATCTGCTCTAGAGGAGATCTGCATGGAGGAATGGGCCAAAATACCAGCAACAGTGTGTGAAAACCTTGTGAAGACTTACAGAAAACGTTTGACCTGAAAACGTTTGACCTGTGTCATTGCCAACAAAGGGTATATAACAAAGTATTGAGAAACTTTTGTTATTGACCAAATACTTATTTTCCACCATAATTTGCAAATAAATTCATTAAAAATCCTACAATGTGATTTTCTGGAAAAAAAATTCTCATTTTGTCTGTCATAGTTGACGTGTACCTATGATGAAAATTACAGGCCTCTCTCATCTTTTTAAGTGGGAGAACTTGCACAATTGGTGGCTGACTAAATACTTTTTTCTCCCACTGTAACACAGGAAAACACACTTCTCATGGTATACACATTCTTTGTACACAAATGGCCTGTAATGAGTTGCACTACATCTTAAGTTGTGCCATTTATTAATTGTAGGTTTGTAGGCCTGATAACTAAAGCTGCTTATAATGAATAGTACCATCACCAGATAAATAGCCAACTGCTCAAGCATGGGATCCATTTAATCCTGGTAAAAGAAAATACACTAGCGCATCCATATTAATGATTGCAAATCTGATACCCTCACTCCATCCTTGTCTCTCTCCCAGGGTTTAGGCCTGGCTGAGGATATGTTCCATCATCTCAACCTTTCAGGCGAGACTAAACTAACCATTTCTCCACAAACTTGTTGGCAATAATGAGTTATTTTTGCACATATCAAACATTTAACTCATTCGTTTCCCATAGTCTTATAGCCAGGCTATCTGTTTCCATGTACAGCTTGTTGCTTGGGCCTTTTCTCTTCTTCCTGAAGACTTAAATTAATCGATACATTCCTTTTGTTTTTAATTCAGCTCACATCACTCCATTAATTGTTGTGTCTCTCCCTCTCCATCTAACATCTACTCCATCATCCTTCCTCCGTCCACTCCCCCTCACTATCTCTTCATTCTGGACCCATCTATCCATCTTTTTTCGTTCTTTCCCCAGAATGAGATGCAGGTCACGCTCACAGTTTCTTCCCCCGCCATGGCAGTGTTGGCGGGAGAGGCGGCTAAGCGTGTCACTGTCCGCTCTAAATCGGATTGATTAACGGCGCGCTGCTGTGGCAGGTCTCCCGGGACCCCCTCCACCAGCCCCCCCCCCCCCCCCCCCACTCCCAAATTGACTGATTTCCTTATATGAACTGTAACTCAGTAAAATCTTTGAAATTGTTGCATCTATATTTTTGTTCAGTATATAAAGGAATTGCATCTATAAAGATATTTTGCGATCTTCTATAGACTACCTCTCTCTGAGAGGAATGAATGACTCCCTTGAGGAGGATCTGTTGTGTGGTTTTTGTATGTGAGCAGAGAGGCTGACTTGCAGTCGGTCCCAACATCTGTTTACATGGTTGAGTGGCATTAATCCCCTGACATTCTCTGAGTTGTTTTGAGGGGCGGACAAGGAGGAGAACGTTTCCAGGAGAATATTTTTCTGTAGATGTATAGGCAGTTTATGGGTTGTTGTGGTTTAGGGTTAAGGTTAGTATTCAGTTTGGTATTTGCCTGCCTGGATGGACATCCTTTCAATTATTCATCTGTCATTTTCTCTTGGTAGCACTTGGTCATTCCTGTTTCACAGGTGGGAAATCTGTGTAGAATTGTGTTAGCAATACAACTACGAACCAAAGCTAGTCAGTAGGGATGTCATGATATATCGTCATTTAGGTATCGGACGATATATTGTCTAATCAGTATCAACGGTACAGGTGTCAACGGTACAGGCTGGTGGCGGTGGTGTAATGTTGTGGGGAATGTTTTCCTGGCACACGTTAGATCCCTTGATACCAATTGAGCAACGTTTCCATGCCCTGAAGAATTCAGGCTGTTCTGGAGGCAAAGCGGGGTCTGACCCGGTACTAGATGGGTGTACCTAATAAACTGATTGTATATTGTTTAATGGTATCAGACGATATATTGCCATATCAGTATCGGCCGACAATGGCAAAAAAACTAACAGAAAAATGGTGTCGGCCAATTTATTTCAGAGGCAATTTGATATATACTGAACAAAAATATAAACGCAACATGTAAAGTGTTGGTCCCATGGTTTCATGAGCTGAAATAAATGATACCAGAAATGTTCCATACGCACAAAAGCTTATTTCTCTCAAATATTGTGCACATCCCTGTTAGTGAGCATTTCTCCTTTGCCAAGATAATCCATCCACCTGATAGGTGTGGCATATCAAGAAGCTGATTAAACAGCATGATCATTATACAGATGCACCTTGTTCTGGGGACAATAAAAGGCCACTTTAAAATGTGCAGTTTTGTCATACAACACAAAGCCACAGATGTCTCAAGTTGAGGGAGCGTGCAATTGGCATGCTGACTGTATGTCCAACCGGCCTCACAACCGCAGACCACGTGTATGGCGTTGTGTGGGCGAGCAGTTTGCTGATGTCAACGTTGTGAACAGAGTGCCCCATGATGGCGGTGGGGTTATAGTATGGGCAGGCATAAGCTACAGACAACGAACATGATTGCATTTTATCGATGGCAATTTGAATGCACAGAGATACCGTACTCACCAGACATGTCACCCATTGAGCATGTTTGGGATGTTCTGGATCAACATGTATGACAGTGTGTTCCAGTTGCTGTCAATATCCAGCAACTTCGCACAGCCATTGAAGAGGAGTGGAACAACTTTCCACAGGCCACAATCAACAGCCTGATCAACTCTATGTGAAGGAGATGTGTCGTGCTGCATGAGGCAAATAGTGGTCACACCAGATACTGACTGGTTTTCTGATCCACGGCTCTAACCCAGTCATGTGAAATCCATAGTTTAGCGCCTAATTTATTTATTTCAATTTACTGATTTCCTTATATGAACTGTAACTGTTTTGATAAGAACGTTTTTTTTCTTCAGAAAATTTATTAAATTATATATCCTTGGAATGTTCTAACATTCACTAAAATGTGTGCATAACATCTAACAACCACCACAGAACATTCCCCCAAAGTTCTCATTCGGTTTCCAGGTAATGTAATAACACAATGTCCAAGTAATGTTTTTTGAACATACTACCACAACAAAATATGAGAACAACATTCTGGGAACTTACTTGGAACATCAGGTGAATGTTTTATACAAACATTGTATAATCATCAGCACAACTGGACAGTTTTTGTGTTATGAGAACATTTGCCGCAACCTAACAAAATGTGCTCTGGGAACTTTCACAGAACCAATTTTCAAGCTTTCAGAGCAATTGGCCAGCTTTTATTTAACCTATGACACTGCACACTCTTGAATTCAAGGGCAAATGCCATGAGCGTTCTGTCTAATTGAATAGCCCATATGTTAAAGAGTCATAAGAAGGGCTGTGACAGTGCTGGTGTTTACATCTCCTCCCTCCAATGACCCTTTAAACATGTCATTCAGCTAATTATATTTGCTAGTGATAAGGAGGCCTGGTTATTTATGACTCTTCTGGCATGGATCCATAGGGGACATTACTTCACCAAGGCTCAGACAGCAGAAAATATATGCCGTCGCTGACATTTAATGTGTCATGTTTATGATTAATGTATGGTTGCATTGTACTTCCTATATAACCTAGTGGCCCAACAGCAATTCTGACCAACAATGAAGCTTCATGGTATAACATTTTAAAACAATGTTGGTGAAACCAATATATGAAAAAGAGAATACATGATTATACAGTGTTATTTATGATGTTACCTTCAACTCTAAAGTAATTGCATGGTCAAACAGCAAAGAGTAATTTGTGTAAATGAATAGAGCATAGGCTACCAATTACAGATGAAAGATGGTTCTGTTTTTGAGTCCACAAGCTCAAATCAAATGACTATGTAGTGGCAAAAAAGTCAATATGAATCATAATTTCAAAGATTTCATTACCATTATATTGTTAAGCCAGGAGGCCGACAGAAACAGGAGGAGCAGTCAGAGAGAACCAGAGCAGTGAGTCTCAATTTGGTCTCGTAGTAACTATCAAAATGAAACCTTGTTTCCTTTAAGAGGTGAGGAGGGGGGTGCAGTGGGAATGTGAAATAGAGAAAGGCAAATCAGGAATATTGTCAACTGCAGTGGAGATTGATATCGACAAGGGAGTACATTTCTGTCTGTTGGCCAAATGCCGTGCCGACTTGAGCTGCTGCTGGGGAGAGCGAGGGCCCGTGGGACGACAGGAAGGATACACCGCCTCCACTTTTCATTAGGGGCACCATTAAATAGGGGCGGGAGAGAGAGAGAGAGAGAGAGAGAGAGAGAGAGAGATGGAGAGAGGGAGCTAAAGACACACAAAGAGGAGAGCGGGAGGTGGAGGCAGAGAGGCCGTGGAGAACAGGAGGAAGAGAAGTAGAAGCAAGTACAGGGGAAAGAGGGAATCGGGTAAAGAGAAAATAGAGGAGAGAGACGTGAGAGTGGAGAGAGAGTGGAAGTGAGAGAGATTTAGAATGAGAGCACATAGGAGAGAGCAGCTGCGTGTCACTTTAACAGTCTAAGCACAAGACCGGGGTGAGGGGAGCCAAACTGGAGGGGGCTGGAGTGATGGGGAGGGAGGGAGCCTGTTGGATAACAAACTGATCAAGCAAACCTATTTCTGGAGGGCAGGAATGAGACTTGGGAGGTGGGAGTCTGTGTAGACTCTGTTATTTTGGTGTTTTGCAGTGGTGCCCTGCTCCTCTGGTAATAAAACTGACAGGATTCATTCACCGTGATGTACAGACCTCTCAGAGCGGAGCGAGACGATTTAGAGGGGTCTCTTAAACTCACCTGTGGGACCACTATATATATATATGGGAAAAGAGGCAGGGGTATGGAGGACTGATGGAAATATCCAGTTTATACAATTTCCTTCGCTCTCGCCTGCTACTCGCTCCGAGAGCGCGCAGGAGAGGCGAGAGAGAGAGAGCAGAGAGAGAGAGAGAGAGAGCGAGAGAGCGCGGCGCGAGAGGGAGCGAGCGCGAGAGAGAGAGAGAGCGCTCCTCGGAGCTCGCGCCTCCCGAGCTTCTCTCTCGCTCTCTATCTCTCTCTCATCTGCTCGCTCTCTATCTCTCCTCTCTCTCTCGCTCTCTCTCTCTCTCTCTCTCTCTCTCGCTCTCTCTCTCTCTCTCTCTCTCTCCTCTCTCTCTATATATATATATATATATATATATATATATATATATATATATATATATATTAGGGTGGTGGTTGTGGAAGCCTTTTAGCAGCCGTGTGAGTCTGACCCCTAATTGTCATGCTAAATGCTAATATATTGCCATGACACTCTGGACCTAAGGTGTCAAGATGTTGATTAGAAAGTCTCTAATTGGCGCTGGCCTGGAATGTTCCAATCGTGGAGACAGTTTAATTGGATATAAAAGGGTTTCAGCTACAGACAGCTCTACCTGCAGAGCATCAACTATGAAGCAGCCAAAGGTTGCGCAATGACATTAAGTAATGTGCCACTTAGTCAGTGACTGGCCCCTATTGACAATTTGGAAAATATTAATATTGGAATTATTGCGATATTTACCAATACAAGCACGCAGGAAGGCAGACACACAAGCATGCATGCACGCAGACACATTTTCTTGGGCCTTGCTAACCAGCGTTTTATCCTCCATATCATCTGATTACAATGCCACCTATGTGTGTGGTTAGGTCACGCAAACATCACGTGACTGATTAAACATTTCCTTCACATGTTGAGCCAATCCTAAGACATCTCACACTGCTGACATTTTCACAAAGTGATCAAGCTGTCATGGTGGCGAGAAATTCTTCATTGGCTAACTTTAGTTCCCTCATTATATAATACAATGAGTCATGGGTAATTCCATACTTTTAGCCTTTACTGTCTATTCTTGCAAATGTTATATATAATGTCATATACATTTCCATGATCTCTAAGGGCTAAATGTTCTGTATCCCCCTTACACAGGAAATGGTCTTTATCAAACAAATCCTGACATTTGAACACTCCTCAATGAGAAAGCCCAACCTTTGGGATGAACTTTTGAAGGAGTGGGAGGCAAAATGAGAAGGAAAACAAAGATGAAACAAAAGACAGAAAAAGGAAGAGAAGGGAGGCCTATTAGTCTGCACTGTGTAAAGGCCTCAGTGATAATTAGAGAAATGAATGGACATATACAGTATAATGGTTGTGTGTGTGTGAGAGAGAGAGAGAGAGAGAGAGAGAGAGAGAGAGAGAGAGAGAGAGAGAGAGACGGCAAAACTGCATTTTTGGTGTACTGACCTAATAATAATAATAAGGGGGGTGCTTATATTTGTCCTAATTCACACATGTATGTGTGAATTGGAAATGAGACATTATCAATGGAGCAATTAGGGTTAAGTGCCTTGCTCAAGGGCATATCAACAGATTTTTCACCTTATCGGCTTGGGCATTCAGTTACTAGCCCAACGCTCCAATTTAGGGATGGGCAACTGGTGGTCCCCTTTTGTAGGCCCGTGGATCAATTTTTTTCCCCCGGGGTCTCAACTTACTGTTGAGAGTTAGAATAGTAGAATACACAAGGTGCAATTTCGAAATTTGGTTGCGCATCAGCAGTTTTTCTCTTGTTATGTCAGTCACTGACAGTCAATCAATTAGCCCATGTCAGCTAAAATTTTTTAGATTGGTAAGTTAGTCTAGCCAGCTATCTAAACTTCTAGTAATCATTGTCGAATTACTGACCAGGGGGCCCCCCATTGACTTTTAGTCACTCTCAGCCACCCCCCATTGATTTTTTTAGTCACTCTCACTCAGATATCATATTAAAAACGGCAAACATCTCTCTCCACCCTATGAATTGCAGGAAATGAGCTGTAAAACTGCAAATCTTTCTATCCGCTCCATGGCAAAACAAGTATAATTGCAATTGCATGATATTAGTTATAAAATTGCAAAATCTTGCTGGAAATTGACTAAAACTTCAATGTTTCTCTCTGCTGTCAAGAGGGGGCCTGCTAAAATGTTTAACTCAGAAGGTGGGGGGTGCCCCCCCAACAAAACTTCACTTAGGGCCCCCAAAAAGGCAAGGGCCGGCTCTGAATGCATGTGTGGGTATGGATGTGGGTACGCAGACCAGCGAGCCACTGCGGCCCATCATGATGAGCTCAGATTTTTTGTGGCCCCCAACCCCATCAATGTTGCCCATCCATGCTCTAACCACTAAGCTCCCTGCAACCCTGACTTAGGAAACAGTACATGATGAAAATAACCATCGCTTGGAAAATGTGCCCTACTATAAAACGTAGGGGCTGTAATGCAAAAGTTATGTTTTTTATGGTTATACAATACACGTACATTTCCTAGGAAGAGTAATGAAAATGCACTTATATCAAAACTTTGCTGTTGCAGTTTCAAAGCCACCTGTATGTCTTACAAAAGCTGGATGACAAGGGAAAGGTAAAACAACTGTAGTCATTAATTAGCAGACAGTATCTGGAAGGCTGTTCTAAACTAACACCTCCACTGAAACCCACAGTAATTAGTAGCTACTAATCCTGACAGCGGACACGTCAGGCTCACTAAATAAGATCCAGCGCTTCACACGTGTCACACAGTCGCCCACAAATAAGCTACTAGCTACTAGCATCATTAATTAATGAGCTAATTGAGTCGATGTTGGACCGGATCCATTCTGAAGTGAACATGACTGTGTTTTCGTATCAAAATAGTATAACCATTTGTATATGTCCTACATTGACACTGCACTATCCAACTGAATGGAAAATACACTCTAACTCTCCAGTTGTATGTCCTCTGTGAGAAGTGCAAAGAGCTGCGCCGTGTGAAGCAGGAATCAGGGCAGCGGTTCCAATGTTGTGTTGGGCTTAATTAGTGCTTGGTGTGTCCTCCAGGTTTCTTTTTCCAATAGGTCAAATCAAACCAAATGCCACAGTCCTGTAATGGGGACATGGAGTCACAGGTGGCACAATGCTTCTGAGCAGACATGTTGGGTCTAAATGGGTTAGCAGCAGCTCTTTAAACACTGCACTGGACTCATCATAATCTATTAGTCATAGAAGAAATATGCGGCCAACGTGGGGGATGGGCCTAGACACTCCCAAAATGACCAACCCATGCCCCGGCTATAAATATTGATGATAATCCCACTCCCAGCTCATCATCGCAAAGGGCAAAATCTATATTGGTTGTAAATTATAAATTCATAGGAAAGGTCACTTGCTTTAACAAAAATCATTTTGTGGCTTAAGAAACATGGAGAGTGGAGATCTGACGGCTCAGTAGGGTATGCAGGCTTGTCAGTTGTGAGGATCAGACATAATTTCCCTCCTAATCATAGCTGTCTAATAGGTACACTGGACAAGATGTCAAGGAACACGTGAAGGATTCATTATCTATTTAGCAATATCAGATATTCAGAGATCTACGACTGTCAATAATGTATTTGATTCAATTAACTTCTTCCACCTTTCTGTCCTTACACTGGCCTTGTTCTCTTTCACTCCATCTCCCCTCTTTCGTTCATTCTATCCCTCCTCATCTGGCTTCTTTATGTTGATCTGATCCTGCCCTCTCATGTTGGCCTTGCTGTAGCTGTGTCTCTCATCCCCCTATGCCCGCTCTCCTCTGTTTATCCAACCATCTTTCTCTCCTCTCTTGATCTCTCTGTCGCCCCACTTGTCTGCAGCCTGCCTCCCTTTACAGGCATCTCTCCCCCAGCTGTCTTAATCCCACCTCCCTTTGATGTGCTGTGGATAAACTGTATCTCTGTGTCAATATGACACAATTTAAACGCACAACCTAGATCTGCCTTTTGAGTTATAGTCAATGTAAATTACACTTACAGTACATAATAATTCTCTCCCACAATGAAATCGGGGAGGGAACTGTGAATCTGTCTCCGTCCGTTAGTACATTCGTACGTTAGTCACATGCGATATCTCAGACACCCCTGGCCCGATTTTGATGAAACTTGGAAGAATTATGCATCTTGCCATAGAGATCCGTTATTTACTAAATTAGTCAGATGGTGGCGCTATAACAAGAAATTGAATATGCTAACTTTGAAAGGCCACACCCCTCACCCCGATTGACCTAAAGTCATGTAATTCGGTACATAGGTCCCCCTCCTCACAAGGAACAAATATGCCTCAGGGACCCATTAGGTCTGCCATGATGGATTTTCCACCATTTAGAATTTTGTGAAAAACACTTAAAACGCTACTCTTTTGGCACGGTATGACCGATCTGCACAAAACTTAACATGTGGCATCTATGGACAAAGTTCTCTCACGTCAATATTTTCCATATTAGTGCCTAAAACAACACGGACGCTATTGACCAATAAACAATTACATGGGGGTGGTCTGGCACATAAATGCATATAAATCAGTCAAGGATATTCGTATTGTAACATACACATGTTGCAAACACTGTCAAGACTCAACATATGCAAGAACATTCATATCGACCACACGGTGGCGCTATAACGGGCACGTGTTTATATCGCTTAATCTGTTTGACTCTTACTGCTTTCACAAAGGATTTACTGTATTTTGGCTGTAAAAATAAATTGGGCCATGTTTGTATGACCCCCTTACAAACAGGCCCATTTGTACCACATTCTTGCCTGCATACAAATTTTTTACCTCCCGTGAACACTGTGAAACCACTGTCTTATAAAAAAGTGATATTTTGAAACAGAGCCCAAACATTTAATCTCTTTCCTACCCTCACTCCACTTTGTTAGGGTGCAGGCGTAGGGTCTTACATTGAGAATATCTTCATCATGATACCGCTAGAAAATAATAGCAATCCTATTTTCAAAAGCATTTCAGTCTCGTGTTCATCTTTCATAACCTCTGCAGGCTTTTGGAGTTGCCTATATGCGATCGAGCAAAATAATAGGCCTACACTTGATTCGGGCTACATTATTGCATGCTAAATGTTTCTGATCAGTGATCGATGAGCAAACGAATAGATGAGCTATACCACCTCCACTTATTTGCACAGCCAGAAACCACTTAGCCAAATAGCCTATAGATGGAGATTCAGTTAAACAAAATCACATTGATTGAGACAAATCAGTGAAGTCACAGGCTTTTGGTCAGGAGTAGGCCTAGGATTCTAAGCGACTGCGAGTGAAGAGCAAAATAATCCACATGCTGGCAAAATGTTCTAATAAATGAGCCAACTAGACAAGATGACCATGAGCAGCACTCACCTCAACTTAGCTAACATTTCCCCAGCCTAATTGTAGCCTATCCAATATCCAAACAGAGATTCAGTGAAAACAAAAATCTGACATCGATTGATTTATCAAGACTAATTGACCACACGCGGGTAGGCTATTGCTTCAAATGTATTACAATGATTGGATAACTTTGGGAGTTTCAGTAAACAACCATTTGATACATGCCTTCAATTGCATTAGCCTACTTTCTTACAATATTTTCGTCATTCAGTGATATTTATTCCCACAGTAATTCTTTATGGCTCCATCCAGTTGTTGTTAAGAAAACAGTGCATGCTTGGTGGGATATGCGAAGAGATGGGAGAAGTGACATGCCTCACAAAGTTTCAAACTGGCAGGAGGATGGTTATTAACTGGCGCTGCCTAGCAACCATCAAGGGTTTAAGAGCGTAGTGCGT